AAAAGACAAAGAAATAATAAACAACCAACAGTTATAAAACAGAGAAAAGGGCGAACACATCGAAACGACCAATCAGGGACTAATACGTACAGAACACATGACCAAGACCAAGACAACCAGACCACGGACGAATCACACACGACACTCATTCCCAGACCAAACTAGCACTGCGCATGTACAGCATTCACTTGACAGTCACTCTCACACAGACGGAAGCACATCCTCACACTCTGACAACGCGTACTCTTGCATGCACCACATACCATAAACATCGCACATCACACCATACTCGCGCGTACACCTAGACCATAATACATCAGACACTGGACTCCACAAGACAAGAACCAAATACAACGACATGCGTAAATCATAGTCGTAACATAAATTCGTAACATAGCCCTCTCCTTTGCGGAGAGTCGACCTCGACTCTCGACTCAGGGAAAATAAAGAACAGGCAGAACAAAAATGACAAACATCAGAGGAAAGAAACAAGGGGAAACACAACCAAACGATAAGACAATGGAATGCTGTTGCCAGAGATGTGTGATCCGATTTGGAATAGGAAGCCTTCACGGAAGCAGAATCTTGGGAAATCGGCGTCTTGGTCAGTCAGTTGTTGTTGTTGGTGCGCCAAGCAGGGCAAAAAAAAAAGAAACACAGGTACAGCAGCATCTGATCAGTACAAGATGAGGATAGCAGGAACAAAACAAACAACTGGTCACCAATATGCAAATAATATTATAGAGAAAAAACCACAGGGATTGAACCTGAAAAACCACAGGGATTGAACCTGAAAAACACGGAACTACATCCGCTTCGCAAATCATAACACCCGCAAGGCAAACCGACACAACAAAACACAGGATCCCTGCAGACCACCAGGCAGACCGTGGCTCACCATGATCAGACGCCCACCCAAACGAACTAGAGAGACCCACATGCCGAAACACAATTATTACAAAACCATACGCTCACAAAAAAAATTCAACCTGGATCCGAAGCGAGAATCCCACAAACCATCACAGGAATACGTGTGTGGCAACTTCAAAACCGAACCAAGCTTACACTAAACTAGTACAACAACGACATCCCGTTCCGGGAGCGACTCACCGGATAAGAGGCTTGCTTGTAGTGCAGCGCGAGGGTGAATCAGCCTGATGAACGACCACTGTCTCCCAACATGTACCACCAAAGCATGGCGGGGCGAAGTCGAGTAGCATCATGCCGTCGGTGTCCAGTAGAGTATCCACAACAAGCAACGCGTAGCCAAACTTTGACGAAGAGAAAGGAATAAAAATAATAAAGTCGCCAAGCGTCGACAAAGAAAAAGGAAAAAACGAAGGGGCAACGGCGAGCACAAACTGAAACCACGGTTCAAACGATATCGATCTCAGGGTCGTGGGTTCGAGCCCCACGTTGGGCGCCAATGTAAAGGAATTTCCCCCCGCTCCCCGCCACACAACCACTCTCCGACTCATCCACGCGGGCAAGAGGACGACACAGTTTCTTGAATAAGATCTCTTGGAATAAATAACTAACTGGTGGGCGGGAGAACGGGGGAGAAAAGACAAAGAAATAATAAACAACCAACAGTTATAAAACAGAGAAAAGGGCGAACACATCGAAACGACTAATCAGGGACTAATACGTACAGAACACATGACCAAGACCAAGACAACCAGACCACGGACGAATCACACACGACTCTCATTCCCAGACCAAACTAGCACTGCGTATGTACAGCATTCACTTGACAGTCACTCTCACACAGACGGAAGCACATCCTCACACTCTGACAACGCGTACTCTTGCATGCACCACATACCATAAACGTCGCACATCACACCATACTCGCGCGTACACCTAGACCATATTATGACATCAGACACTGGACTCCACAAGACAAGAACCAAATACAACGACATGCGTAAATCATAGTCGTGACATAAATTCGTAACAAATAGTTTTAGGCAATCAAAAGGGCTTGAAGTTGCGTACATTTGTCTTCGTAACCCTGATCTGTGCAAACAATAAGAAAATGTCACTTCACTCACGCTCTTTCTGTAATTACTTCACACTCACCCATTTTACCAATCTCACAATTATGTTTCACATTACTATCTAAATATTGCACTTGCAACATCCTTCACACTTGCCTGATAAGCTCTTCTGAATGGTTGTCATGTACTTGTGGTCACTTCTTTTTGCACACTGTAAACTCAAGTGTACATATCCTACTGCTGGTTATCTATTTTCTATTGATCACAAGATTTCATTGATAAATGTGACAAGAAAACGTTCTGAAACAAAACCGTTGCTACTTTGTTGTTTGACATGAGGGCCAGTTTAATTTTGTTCATAGCTGTTTTTAAAAGATTATTATCTCCACGTAGACTATTCATAATAACTGTAGGTCATTATTTCGTGATCTTTTTCATCTATTCACGCCAACACATTCTTCACCATCATCAAGAAGACGTGCATTATCAAGCCGAGCCCATGGGTGAATGTATTGCGATCTGGTGGTTAGAGAGGACGAGCTTAACGAGTGTGTGTGCGTGCATGCATGCATGCATGCATGCGTGCATGTGTGTGTGCGTGTGTGTGTGTTGTGTCAAATTCTTATTAACTTCAAAGTTTTAATAGTAAGGGGACGTCCGTAAATACATGTATTTACTTCAAACCATCCACAGCCATCATCTAAATAAGTAAGAGACAACCGGCTCCAGTGTTTGTCACTTTCACCACTGCTGTCATTCGCACTTTTAGATTTTCCCCATGATGCAGTCATTTACGCTTTGCACTGCCGCCATTCACAACTTTTAGATTTGCGCCATTTACACTTTGCTTTGTGAGTGTATAAACCAATACTGATCCAGATTTCTCATTACTGTTTTCTGATGATCGCTTAGTGCGTAAAACTCGGAGTAAAAACACTTTCTCTGTCCTCTTATTTTGTGTATTCACTTAGACACGTCTAACAGGCGTTTGTGGTGGGTGGGTTCGCATTGCAAGGCATTTCTAAATAATACATTTCGGAGTGCATGCATACCATACCGAGCGTGTACATGTACATGATGTAGCACTGCTACAGCTAGTACCAAGAGTAGATAAACAAGAATGTGCAACTCCGGATCTCTCCTGCACAATCTGCAGATACCCCGAGCCCACGGCGGAATTTTTTGTTTACGTCACCTTTTTTCAGAGGAACGCGGATTTTGCCGCAGAGCATTGTGAGAGCACGTGCTGGGCACCGACCTTGTAGTAAAGCCCAGCCAAGTGCACGAGGGAAAACTCTCCAAAAGGCTCGCAGCGCGTGCGTCGTCGAAAAGATTACGTCAACAAAAAATTCCGCCGTGGGCCAACCCATTCGCGAGTTGCACACTCTTGTTTATCTACTCTTGCTAGTACCAAGAGTATAATACCCCCCCCCCCCCCCCCGCCTTATACTCTTGCTAGTACAGGTACACATACTCGTACTTTTTACTCTCAGAAACATGCGCTTGCATGCAGTGACAGCCAGCGTGTAGTGCATCGTAGCTCTGTCGTTGGCCACTTGCACACTTTTCTCTCACTACTTACTATTCGTAGATCTACTCGGCGCGAGGATAACAATTTCATGGCTGCAGCGACGACTCTGGTTTCTGTTGTGAGAAGTTACCCCTTCACCCTCGCCGTTGGCGTTAGGCGCTGCATTTTCCACCATCTGTTTCAATTTTCAACCATGTCAAACCTACATCACCATAACATGTACATGTGTGCTTGTCCTGATAATTACACTGTATATGTGTGCATAGTATGGCGTTCTTAGGAGTGGTATTATCTGAATTTTGGGGGGGGGGCGTTTCTGGGGGTGGGTGGGTCAAGAAAGAAACGCCCGTTAAACATCTCTAAGTAAATACATGTATATATTTAGAAATGAAAACTAGTCTTTTCTCTTCAACCCCCCCCCCCCCTACTTGAGAAACGAACACATGCGAATGGTATATAGCATCGGGGTTTTTTTCGTTTTTTCTGGACGTGCTCACATACAAACTGTACGTCGATATTATTCGAGAAACGAACAGGCGCTCAATCCCCTCTCCCCTAAACGACAACCGTAAAGTACCATTGAACCCCCCCCCCCCCCCCCACGCCATGTCGCTTACCAACTGGGTTTTCGGCAGGGGGGGGGGGGGCGGGAATTAGATCAAGACTGTCAAGTGCAGTACGATTTACAACAACGTGAAAGTTCAGACTCAATGAGCTGGATTGTGCACATTTTCATCCTGCACTGGCACGTATTGTGTACAGCAGTGGATGCGTTGGTTCAACATCGTATTTCGGTGTATGTGCCGAAGTCGCTTCACAGGCAGAAAATCGACAGGGGCGGCAATTAGAGAGGGAGCGGATCAATGGTACTTTACGGTAGTGGTCTAAATAAATATCTAATTTTACGGATGGCCCCAAAGCAAACTTATTGCTGAGTGTCTTAGTAGTTTGTGAGTGACCGCCTCCTTGGACAGCCACTACAAAGAGAATGTTTCTTTTTGCATTTTTTGGGAAAGGAAGTGCTGCCTGGCAAATAGATGATCTGGCAGTTTGGTGCAGTGTAAGCATGGTGAGTCCTTTTCTGGATTTCTGCCTCTTTCAAAACTTTCAACTTGGTGGCAGCAGAGGGATTCATACCCACCTGATGGAAATACTCGAGATGTTCCTACTCAGTCCGCCACGAGTCGTAGTGTAATAACGGCCTTACTGGTATGAACATGACGAGGTCTAACCAGATCATCAGCTCAGTTGCTGGTGCAGGTTTTTGTACTTCTTTAAAATATATCTCGAAACTGTCCACCTCTCCACTTTGAGCTCTTGGCCCACCTTCACCACACCATAGCGGGGAAGTTAGCTTTTGGATAGAGCTTCTGAGTTCTCAATGTACTGGTGTAGTTACTATTGTCCATGTTCTTAGCTTCCCTTGTTGGTGAACATTGCTGGAATATTCTGTTTTGACATTTCCTCAGCACAACCCAAGGTAACGGTGTCAGAACCAACTAACCTTACTGTGGTGATGGAGAAGAGCGCTCCGAACTGGACTTTCATTGCAACAGGCAATCCGAAACCAACACTAACCTTGCAGTATGAAGGAAGTGCCATCCAAATGGTCTCGGGGGACATGATGCCATCACGGGTGCTCCAAACCTCAACTATCACCATAGCACCAAGTACACTCCGCAATGCCAGTGGTTTGTACACATTTTTGGCATCAAACTCGATTGCAACCGCCACCCACTCTGCACGTTTGAGTCATAGGCTTATCGTAACCTGTAAGTGTGATGTCTTTCCACGTCATCATAGTACTGTGCTTTAAACAGGGAGAAACATGTTCAGCAATCCCTTATCTTTCAAAATTCCAGTTTTCCTTCCCCAGCATTGGTGTCCAAAGTGCACTACCATGAGATATTCATCAGCCCTATTTTGTCGGGAACATAGAACTTATTCTGTATTCTACTTCCTTTTATGCGAACTTAGATTATCCATCATCAGGCCAAAAAATTCGAATGCGCATCCAAGATGTGCTAGAGCTGATTGCCAAGTAGGTGTTGAACGTCAGTACCGTTGGGCAGTGTCGTGCAATGTTATTGCATGAGCTGATTGTAAAATAACTGGCGGTGTTAGTGTCATGACCCGACCCCAAGGGTCAGTCAAAAGTCTGCGTTGCGAACAACACCAAATAGGACCGCCACGAAGTGTGAGCAAGACCCAGAATCCCAAGTGCACAATATATGCACGCCATCACTCAACAGCCCACCAAGAGTTCCGTTTCCAAGGACATACCTTGTAGATAGGTCAGAGGTAGAGAGAAGAAAGAGGATATCAAGATCGAAGCAGTACCTGAGCGAGGGGACGAACGTATAAAAGACAGGGACTTATATTCATAACATTAGCATCCCCCCACCTCACAACAGAGCAACCGAGTTTTGCATTAAGCTGGGAGTGCCGATTCGAGCAACTGGTATAATGGCTCGCAGCTGAGCCAGCAAATGACTCCGCTTGGAGCAGGCGAATGACTCCGCATGGAGCCGGCAAATGACTCCGCATGGAGCCGGCAAATGACTCCGCATGGAGCCGGCAAATGACTCCGCATGGAGCCAGCAAATGACTCCGCATGGAGCAGGCGAATGACTCCGCATGGAGCCGGCAAATGACTCCGCATGGAGCCGGCGAATGACTCCGCATGGAGCCGGCGAATGACTCCGCATGGAGCCGGCAATTGACTCCGCATGGAGCCAGCGAATGACTCCGCATGGAGCCGCCGAATTACTCCGCATGGAGCTGCCAATTACTCCGCATGGAGCCGCCGAATGACTCCGCATGGAGCCGCCAATGCCTCCGCATGGAGCCGCCAATGACTCTGAATAGAGCCGCCAAATGCTAGATATATAGAGATGCATAACCAGTTGAGAGCATATATTCCAAAAAACGGCACTCCCAGAGCGGATCACAAAGTGCAGCTACCTGTGAAATTTGTAAGCAGTGCAAGCTCGGTAACGATTGACTAACAGGAACTCGATATCATGGGCTGAGGCCATTGCCACAGCCACCCATGCTTTGGCTGCTGGTGGCCTCTGAATGTTACTCGGGCAGACATGGCTTTCCACCTTCCCGCCTCTCTGAATATCGAGTCCGGCAGCTGATTCGAACGAGTGGCCGGTGTATAACGCCAGGCCATAGCCACAACTGATGAGCAAGATTTTCGCAGTTGCTGTAAAGCCGATCGTTTGGCATCTGCAGCTGGTGCCGCTAGCTTTCCCAGGTGCTGCCACAATTGCAAACCACTCTTTGCGATTGGCTGGTCTGCTTGATTGACTGTCCATTGCCCTATCCCCGGTCGCAATTGTTTGGGCACCAGCCCAGTGCACCACTTGCATCAGTGAATAGCAGCAAGTTGGGGACGGCGTCCACTTAGGGTGTAGGAAGAAGGGCCGGCCGTTCTACTATTCCAGGAGCTCAGGCCATCAGCGAAGGTATTTGAGGCACTCTTCGGAGAGCCTGATCAGGTAATACGGCTGCCTGTACCAGTTGGCAAGTGACCACAATCTGCAATGTGCGTCCTGGGACTATCACTCTTGTAGCAAACGAGAGCTTTCCCAGAAGATACTCGAGTTGACATTGGGTAGTTGAAGCTGTGTTGAGAGTGGCCCGTAGGAGGTCGTGAAGCTTGGCAAGTTCGTCCATCGGCAGACTGATGTGAGCGCGCGGGTGTCCAGGATGACGCCGATAAACGTTAGGAAGTGGGCTGGACCCTCCACTTTTGCTGACGCCAGAGAAACACCGAGGTATGTAAACGCACGGCGCCGATTAGCGAGTTGCCGGCGAGCTAACACAGGTCCAGAGCATACATCGAGGAAGCACTTTTGCTGACACCAGAGAAACACCGAGGTATGTAAACGCACGGCGCTGAGTAGCGAGTTGCTGGCGAGCTAACACAAGTCCAGAGCATGCATGGAGACAGAAACGTTAGTCGAGGTATTTCCCGTAATGGGAAGATGCCAATAACGTCAGGACTTGAGCTGGACCCTCCACTTTTGCTGGGGCCAGAGAAACACCGAGGTATGTAAACGCTCAGAGCAGAATAGCGAGTTGCCGGCGAGGTAACACAAGTCCAGAGCATGCTTGAGGAAGTAACGTTAATTGAGGTATTCCCCGTAATGCAACAGGCGTGGGAGTGCGAACTGCCCGCACACAATCCATTCACTGGCGGATACGACAGAATTCCATATAGCTGGCCTGGAGCGTAGTACAGTCTGAAGGGCAGGACGCTCTCAAAACAGTATTGATCTTGCCAGCGGTTCAACAAGGGCCACTCCTCCGGGCAGACGGGAATTCGGCAGAATGCACTTTTAACATTGAGCTTAGCAAGATACAGCGGGGCGAGCAATTGTCTAATCATGTTTGCAGCATTGTCATCTTGACATTGTGGAGAGATACGGTCTGCTGGAATGTAATCGTTGACACTTCGACCCTCCAGGCTTTACAAAGGGTGTGTCGTGTGTAACTTCCCGTTCGTCTAGGAACCGCATCTACGCCGGAACAGCACAGAGACGAGAAAGGGGGTGAAGAACACGGGCCAGCTGTTTCAAGCCTGCTGCAAGAAACGGATCGTTGCGCAGAAATATAATCTGGGTTAGCATGTGACCATGTTAAATTCAATGGATCCCAGTTAGTTGAGTGGTTGCCGATGAAACCTACCACAACCCCACAATTACGACCATGTGCAACATACCTCCGGAGCATAGGATCAGGATGTGAGTCCAGTAATTTTGAGAAGTGAGAAACTGAGTGCTTACACAGTTACTGATGAGGCCTTACACTTTGCCTTGGGGTGCTCCTGTCGGCACTGGAGGTAGCACTGCCTGAGCTGACACGTGCAAGCGCCGTACTCGTAGTAGCGGCATACGGTTGCGGTACGTGATGCGGATCTGTACTGGTGAGTAGGACGAAATGCGCACGGAAATGCTGGCGGGTGCACTGAGCTGCACTGCTGGCAGGCGGGTCGTGCTGTTCCAGTACACCGCGAGGCGCAGTTGCCACAAGTTGATATTGATAACCTGGCTTTGGAGATCATTGCTATCAGGTTCGGCTTAATTCCCTCTGTGCTGCGCTGATGAGTCCACAAAGGACGAAACAGTTGTCCGCAGATTGAGTATTGATAACGTCCAGTTGATTGGCCGCGACGATCGTCGCCAAATACGTCCACAGGCACTCGTGAGGAACAGTGGAACACAGACCATTCATGAACACTGTCCAGGTCTCAACTCAAGTGCTACCGTCATGCAGCCTACGAAGCGCAGTTCTGGGTTCGGATTCAAATAAATGCTAGTGCGCCAGAAGAGCAACATATGAGGGGCTACGGAGTTGGAACGTCGCCGGAGCTGGACTGACTGCAACTGTATCGGGCAGCAGGAAATCGAAGTCCACGAACTCGTCTCTCTGGACACGATCGAGAAGGGCCCGTATAGGACAGTCAGGTTCACCTGCTGTTGGTGCTGCATGCGCATATGGCGGTCGTCACTGCACCGGGCTCCCAGTAGGGTCCGGCCTGCTGGCGGCGAGCGGCGATACGGATCCAAGTAGAGTGAGGAGAAGCTGGGTGGCGTTGGTGACGGCAGTGGACAACTACCGTTGTTACTTCCAACAGAAACTCGAAGTCCACGAACTCGCCTCTCTGGATACGAATTACGATCGTCAGGCTCGCGTCTGCTGTTGCAGTGGTGGTGCTGCGTGGCGGCCGTCGCTGCGTTCGCAGTAGGCGGGCGGTGGAGCCAGGTAGAGCGAGGCGATCCGGAGAGGCTGGACGCCGGTTGGTGACGACGACATTGTTTCAAGGCACAAACAAGGGTCGCTGAGATCGCGTGGAGGTACTTCATTTCAGGAAACCTGATGATGGCGCAAGCTAAAAGTCCACAGTCGACGACGACATTGTTTCAGGCACCAACAGGCGTCATTGAAGTCTGAATTTGAAACGTAGAGATACGAGAATGCAAGCTTGAAAGTCTAATGGAAGGAAATTGTTTTGGGAACACCTGTTCCGCAAGTTGCACGCTCGAAAGTCCAAACAGCAATGACATGAAAGAGACATTGTACAGGATTTTGAAGGGCGCGCGCCCACGTGACTCGCGCATGCGTGCAGGTTGGGCCAGCTCGCTGGGCTGGCTGCTAACTCGCGTTAGCATGCTAACGCTCATATAACTAACAACAACCAATCAGAGCATACATACTGTACTCACTAATCATATTAGACGGCGGGACAAGGGGACAAGTAACGGACAAAGCTAGATTCATAATGATTGAACGTCTCATAACGGCGGGATACAACATGCAAGAATGGAAGAAGATATTAGTTAATAGACTATGACAGTTGACAAGGCGCGAGATTATGCAGCATCGTATCAGTTGTATGATTATGTACAATGTAGTATTCAAGTGCGTATAAAGGCTACGTAGTAGTAATGTCTAATGATGTAGTGAGTAGTAGTGATGTAATGAGTAGTAATGATGTAGTGAATAGAAAAGATGCGGTAAGTTACCATACTGTGCACATGCGGTGCTGGCGCGACTCGTACCCATCAGTCAGCTGAGCGCTTGTCAGCTGGTGCTGGCCCCTCGTCTGCCAGGTTGCTAGGATGGCTGTGCGTCGTCGACCTCGGGTCACGACATTAGTGTTGAGGAACACAATCTGTAGGATAGCAAACTGCAATATATTATTCTGGGGTTGATCTCCGTCTTGAATTTTCGTTTCTTGCTGGGAAAAAATTTGAGAATTATTGTGACGCATGTCCTTGGCCAACAATTGCTTTTTCAAATTGGACAATAGGCCACGAATGTTTAACAAGAATGGACTCGGATGGAGAGCCAAGGATAAATTTATAGAGTCGCATGAGCTGATTGTTTAGTAACTGATGGTGTTAGTGGACATTGTAGCGAGATTGTAGTTCCTTGGTCATTTTCTTTTCAATAAAATGTTTAACAAACTTAAACTAAAAACAGACAGGATGGGCTGGAGCAATTGAGTCATGGGACTTCTGATGACCTATTCCGTAATATGCTGTAGGATAATGGCATAATAATTATGAATTAACTGTGGGCAGGTTTAATGGATTGTTTTTCTTGCAGCTTCTCCGACTATCACCTATCCAACAACACGCACAATAATCAATACCCGAGAGTTCAGGGCATTCACTCTGTCTTGCGACGTTAACGGGAATCCTGGACCTTACCTTTCGTTGTTTGATAGCAGTAGTATATTGACTAACGTATCGTCCAACACCGGAAATGACAATGATCTTGTTAGCAAATCAATATCCAAAAGCTACATGAACATGACACGAAATCAGACTGGAAATTATAGCTGCTCTACACGCTCCAATCTTTACCCAACTCCTCAAATTGTTCATGTGGAAGTCATTGTCCAGTGTAAGCTTGTGTACCTCTGCTGTTTGTAGGCCGGTCTTAGTTCTAAAGATGGACTTATGCTGTGGTGATAGAAGGGAGAGAGTGGGAGAAGGGGTGGGGTGAGGGTGGAATTGCATCCAATAGGCCATGGTTGGATCCAAGATTACGGTGGAAATGATTTTTTTTAATTTGTTATTGTTTAAAAGGATTCCCCCTAAGCCTTTCACCTATCGAGGGAATAGCTCACTAAACTTCACCAGTCCATGAAGTGGCGGCCACTTGGAAAGAGTCCACCGGAAGGTTTACCTTCACATACCGTTTTTCCGGTTGTAAGTGACCTTTTACGACTAAAATAGAGGGAGAAAGGGTGGGGGTCGACTTACAACCGGGATGGTGTGGTATGGTATTTTAATTTTAATTCACCAATCGAACAGGCATATCTGCCTTCTTGGGGATTCGACTTATAACCGGGAACTATCAGTATCTTACAAAAATGACCTGCACTGCATGCACAAGTGCACCATGTGTACACATTTTTGCCAGTTTATTGGCCTTATTCAAGGACTGGGACGTTATACCCTCCAATAAGGAATGTTTACATAATTTGTTCATGTGTTGGTAGCAGGGAGTGGTTAGTAGTGCTTCTTTGGGTGAAAACTTTAAAACGCAGAATTGAGACCTCCGGATACGGGAGTCGACCTATAACCGGGGTCGACTTACAACCGGGAAAATACGGTATATATATAGAGAGAGAGCTGCGCTTCGGTCCTCTGAGCTGTGCTGAGGAGCTCTAACAGAGCGAAACAGTTGCTGTCCACAGATTTGAGTATTAGGCTGTGTTTACATGAGAAATTTCAACCCGGGTCGAGTTCAGCCCGGGTTGAAAGTCTGTACGATAGACAAAAGAGGTGAGCGTTTGCATGAAGACAGTTGACCCGGGTCAAATACTGATATGCCGCCAAAAGTCCACTTCTACAGACCTGTATGGTCACGTGAATGCGTTCGCGCGAAATTTGCATGTGCAGTGCTGTTCAAACCTGGCGCGAGATACGCACAGAAGTACGTTTGTACGATTTTCTTGACCCGGGTTGATTTCAACCCGGGGCGAAATTTCAACCCGGTTCAAGAGCAATGCATCATGTAAACGCGCCATTCATTTTGTGTACATGGCGGGTTGAAATCTGGCCCGGGTCGAACTCAACCCGGTTTGAAACGCTTCATGTAAACACAGCCTGATGCTCCCTAGCAGTCAGCAATGTCGTTAGGTTGAGCACTCTTACCTTAGCGCGAATCCTTGCCGCTCGCCTTGTGCAACGCTCGCTGCTCTTGGAGCATTTCGACCACTCTTGGCGGGGTTTTCAGCTCTTTATAAAAATGCTTTGCTTCACGGAAACGTATTTCATTGCGAAGAGCTGCGCTTCGGTCCTCTGAGCTGTGCTGAGGAGCTCTAACAGAGCGAAACAGTTGCTGTCCACAGATTTGATTATGCGCTGGTTAGCTTTATGCTTCGCCCGCTGCTTCTAGCAGTTTGAGCACTCTCAGCGCTAGTACAGCGAGCTGTCCAAATGTCTGTGGTTCTCGTAGCCATGGCTGACAGTTCAATCCTATTTTAAGCTCGGAGTTGCATTGATGAGGCCTCATTGACCGAAACAGTCTGGCTGTCTGCATCATTGAGTATTTCGCTCCTCGATTTCGATCTTATAGAGCACTCTCAATAGGCCGCACTTGCACTGGTTAGCTTTATGCTTTGCCTGCTGCTTCTAGCAGTTTGAGCACTCTCAGCGCTAGTACATCGAGCTGTCCTAATATCTGTGGTTCTCGTAGCCATGGCTGACAGTTCAATCCTATTTTAAGCTCGGAGTTGCACTGATGATGAATTACTAGATGATCTATATATGAATTACTTTTGATCCGGCATTGTAATCTTGAGGAGGTCTGGTTGAGGAGCTTGGCGAACCTGAAGCGGTCCAGCACGCTGAGGCTCCGATTGACTTCGTGAAGAACACGGCTGCAGTACTCAAGGAGAAAGTGTTCCAAGTCAGCGGTGATCCTCTCCAGTTCGTCCTTGATAAAGGCGCGTTCGATTCTCCATGGTGTCTTGGCCTTTTTCAGTGGCGGATCCAGGACTTGGCCGAAGAGGGGGCCCAAGGTATCCGCCCCCCCCCCCCCCCTCCCCAAAAACAAACAACAAAATACAACAACAACCAGGCGCGTGCTCGGCGATGGGCACGGGGGGCACGTGCACCCCCCAAAAATTTTCAATCTGGGTAATTGAAATTGTAATGTATGCAAATATGCTCTAAAATTCAAGAAAGGTTGCAAACAAATTGCAGAAAATTGCCGGGGGGCTCCCCTCGGCTCCCGTGCACCCCCCTAGTTGGGGGGCCGAGCACGCCCCTGACAACAAAGTCCTCAAGTTGTGAAGAGCTGTTGTATTTAGGGTCCGGCGGATTCTGCCGGCAGAAAAATTGGCAGAATTCGGTACTTTTTCTGGTATGTTTCATGCATGTTTGGTACGTGGATCAAAAAATGGAGCAGAATTCGAGGAATTGCCCGCCATAAGGTTTGTATGGTTCTGCCAATTTCACTGCTTTTCGAGCAGAATATGTCACCTTTTCGAGCAGGATCCGCCGGTCCCTAGTTTTATTCCATTCTCACGACATTTTCAAACTGCACTTGAACATTTCCACTCGACAGCGGCCGCGACGGACCTTTGGACGGCTCTTCAACGTGAGCTCTCTTATCTACCGGTCCACTGAAGAACGACCTGATGTCAGACCCTTTCCTCTTCATCGCATATCTGAAGGTAACCCGTTGGCTACAAGCGAAGTAGAGAGCTAGAGAGCGTTTAGTTTCGGACAAGTGAAAAAGGAAAAAGGAAGGACGAAGTCGACAGCACCGTGCACAGGACTTCAGCCCCACGCGATCGCTGCACTATGTACCAGGCCCTGCATTTTTGGCACTTTTTCACATGTTTGAAGTGCGGCCGTGTCCTCAGGTTGCAGTGCGTACAGTAGTTGTACACAGCGCGCTGACTTCAAGTATAGTACAGTGCGTGACACCGGACACATAAAAGTACCCAGCATGCGTGACCCACTTGACACGCCAAGTCATTTCGAGCGCTCATTCTGTAATCCTAGACCAAGGTCGAAATTTTCAAAGGGGGGGCCCAGGCCCCCTGCCCCCCCCCCCCCCCCTGGATCCGCCACTGTTATTAACTATCTGCACCCACTTCTTGATGGAGCGGGGCGCAACGCCGCACGTAAGGCAGTTCTTTTGAAAGTCTGCATTCTCATGACCAAGGATGATCCGGCCTTTGCACTTTAAAACATAATTCAGGTCCTGAATTAGTCGGTGGTCCAGTTGCCGTTTTAAATATTTAAATAGAGAGGTAGGCGAACAGAATTTATATACACACAACAACAAGGTTGTCAATTTCATAATACTAAAAGCTTTTCACCCATTTTCATCAGTAGTTACATGGGAATGAGCAAGAACGAAAACGAAGCCAGAATTTTTACTGGGGGTAGAGAATCAGCAAGAATATTCTTACACGCCTCAAGTTCACACTACACTACCATAATAATGTATGGAGCAGTGGAAAAATGCGGGAAACAACACATGAAGGGAATGCAGTACCAGAACAAACACGTGATAAAGTTGTCAGTCCGGTTGCGACTTGAACAACCGCAGCACCTTGATGTGCTTCTTTTGTCGACACAGTTCTGGCTTCAAACTGCGAATGTATAGTGCCTCCAGCATGAATCGATGCACGCTGTTCCGGGCTGGTGTGATGACACTGAAGCTGCTGTTGCGTTCCTGCGGGATACATTCGGGTTGCGCTTGCAAATGCTTGGTGATGGCGCTATCACTTGTTGCCACACGTTTGTCAGGCGGCCCGTTTCTTGTACACCTTGTCTGGGATATGCTGCTTGATCCTTTCCGAGAATCGCTGACATGTATCACCAACGTACGTCCGCTCACAGCGACACGCATACATGTTCGGTTAACGTAGGAGTTAACCGTTGTTAACAGTCACGTACCATTGCTTCGCTGTTGGCCTTTATAACGGGTTGCATAACCCTCCTTGCGTGTGTGCACGATCTTGCTCTCTCTCTACATACTGCTGTGTATCATAGACCACATGCCCACGCTCTGCGCATGCGCAAACTTCCTGTGCACACAACAGAGCTTGCTGTCTTTCCAGTTTCCTTGCCTGCAGTCAGCTTTCAAATTCTGAGAGAGTAATTGTGGCGGCGGCTCCAGATAGGGCAAATGATTTGCTGGCATATCAGGCCACTATTCTGGATGCAAATAACTCATATCATGTGGAAGCAGGGCTAAGTTATGACAGGCGTTTCCGGCGCGCCATAGCCTCCCAACCACTGTCGTACGACTGGGCTATCATCGACTCTAATTTGTGGCAGTCGTCATTCACCAGCCGTGGTCGCCCGCCATGTTCGCGCTGTTCTCTGGTGCACCCAGTGGTCCAGGCCCGGTGCCCCTTTAGACCAGGGCCTCCATCCGACGGCGCTGGGAGTGGAGGTCCGCCGCAGTCCAGCGCGCCAACCCATCTTGGGAAACCTATCTGCCGCAACTTCAACAGGGACCAGTGCAACAACTCATTCTGCTATCGTGCCCACGTGTGCCTTCAATGCCGCGGGAAGCACCCAGAAGTCAAATGTGGCAGGGGACAGTCCGCCACCTCAGCGTCTGCTAAGTAAACATTCTGTGGAGACCCCATCAATGTTAGCCGATTAGCCGGGCTCCTTAACCGTCCTTCTGATCACTCCTTCTCTCACTTTGTGTTGCATGGGTTGTGTCATGGTTTCACGATAGGCCATTCTGCTGCTATATCTGGTTGCGTTCTCAAACGCGAACTCACCTCACTCCTGGGCCACCTCTCGTTCGCTTCCAGAGCAATTCCGGCCGCCCGTACATTCTTACGCCGACTGTATGACCTCGACAAGGCCACATCTGAGATGTCATCTCACCGAGTGCTGCACCTCTCAGCCTCAGCCAAGAGCGATCTGAGCTGGTGGCACCAGACTCTGTCAACATGGAACGGAAAGTCATTTTTCCTGCTAGAGAAGTGGATGCCCAGCGCTGACCTCCAGTTGCAAACCGACGCAAGTGGCACCATTGAATTTGGAGCCTTCTTCAATGGTCACTGGTTCAGAGGTGACTGGTCCCCGCAGCAACTGGAACTGAGCATTACCTACAAGGAGCTCTTTGCCATTGTCGCGGCCTGTGTCACATGGGGGATCGAGTGGCTGCGTGTGGAGTTTCAGGCGTCAGGCGAAATAGCACGTCATAGTACATTCGAGATCAGCGGGAAGAAGATGACGACGTCCACTAATTTAGTATCTGTGCACACGAATCTGCTGTGTGTTACTCTGTGTGTCAGCTATGGCATCATCGCCTGTGGTTCCATGCCTAACATGTACGTCTAAACCATCCTGCAAAGTTTGAATGACGTAGGGCGATCGCTCCGCGAAACATACTTTTTGAAATTCTCTTCATAGTATATCTTCCCCCATTGAAATTTCGAATTTCTTCGAATTTTTTGCTGAGAGGGGTGGCTTGCAACCTCGATATGGCTTGTTCCAGGCATGCTTTGGAGCCATCGCCTGTTGAAACAGTGGCGGGAAGCTGCCCTGCAACTGTTCCAACAGGAAATCAATCGATCCGAGAAAGCGCGAGTCCGCGAATCTCGGTTGAATATTGAGTATTTCAAGCCTTTTCGCGACGAAGATGGAGTTCTTTTTGGAGATGGACGTCGCGGCAAAGGACATGGTGTCCGACTTCTGGCGTCTGGTGAAGCCAGGGATCATTTGTCCAGTCAGCCCCAATCCAGCCCCAATCGTCGGTAAGCTTGTGTTTGGATCCCGTTCTGCTCGATGTGGTAGATCACAAACAATTTGATATCGCACAAATTGATCTCAGCATCGTGCGTACGGTATTTTATATTCAGAAAATCCCAAAGTGTCTCTGTGTGGCCGTCCTATGCCACGAGAAACTCCAATCAGGCTCCTATGTCCTCTGCCTTCATGATTGAATGTCCACTTCGTTTGAACAACGAACACAACAATCGAGGACGGCTTTGCAATGAAAAATACAGCTATACTGGAGCTGAAAAAAAAAGAAGAAAAAAGCGTGCTCAGGGTGAGACTCGAGTACATGCATACTCTCCCAGCAGGTGAAACGCAATTTTTTTGTGAAAAATGCGTGTCGCCGACTGACCAGTAATTTCAACTGACGGCGACAACCAAGCTGTCGTGGAGTGCCTGAAGACGGGCATAGGCCGGTCTCCTGCAGTCATGGCACTCATCCGCACCCTGTACTCAATCTGTGTGAAGCACAATTTCCTGATCCGAGCATCGCACCAGCCAGGAATTTCCAATACCATCGCTGATGCCCTGTCCCGGAACAAGATGGATGCCTTCAGGACCTTTGCTCCTACAGCTGCGGAGCGGCCTGACACCATGGTCCAGCCGATCGCTGAGTAAGTGCAAAGACATTCACTTAGGATGCAGATAGCATTCTCTGTCGATCCTACTCCACAATATCAGTCTGTCTTTATGCCTCTAGAACAACGCTCTTGTGCAATAAATACTTACTGTTGTGTCATGTACTGACATAAGGAAGTGGTTTATTTTACAGACAGATGAGTGTAGATATAGTGAAGAGTCAGGGAGGCCATGCCCAGCAGAGCATGGTATCGTGCGTAGCACGGGGGGTAGTGAGAGGTCACGTACCGTCTATACATGGCGACAGACAGGGGAAGGACTATGCCGTGAATTGGTGAAAGGATAACATGATACAGGATAGGACACTTACCATCTATATTGGTTGTTATCACCCGCTATCTCCTCTGGCCCTAATGGGAATGTCGGCATGGGCACTCCTCCGTAACTGGCCTCTCGCACACTACTATTAAACTCGCATGGGTCATAAACCGCTCCTGCTCAACGCAGGCCGACCCACCAACTCGTATGGGTCACAAACCGCTCCTGCTCAGCGCAGGCTGACCCACTTGGTCATATACAGCTCCTGCCCTCGGTAGGCCAACCACATGATTCGTTAACGCGCACTCAATTGAGGCCAGCTACTCTGCCCGACATTCCCATTCTTCCAAACTCACTCTCTTGTCTTTTGGTGTGTCGCGTCCTGCACGCGTGTGTGTCTACTCTATACTCTAGCATGGGGAGTAGAATGTTGAATGTTCCGTTAACGTAGGACTTAACCGTTGTTAACAGTCACGTACCATTGCTTCGCTGTTGGCCTTTATAACGGGTTGCATAACCCTCCTTAAGTGTGTGCACAATCTTGCTCTCTCTACATACTGCTGTGTATCATAGACCACATGCCCACGCCCTGCGCATGCGCAGATTTCTTGTGCCCACAACAGAGCTTGCTGTCTTTCCAGTTTCCTTGCCTGCAGTCAGCTTTCAAATTCTGACCCACCCTCCTCATCCCATTTCTTACTCTTACGCTCCACTCCACATATTTTAAAACACACGGATGCGGGTACTCCTCCGTAACTGGCCTCTCGCGCACTACTATTAAACTCGCATGGGTCATAAACCGCTCCTGCTCAACGCACGCCGACCCACCAACTTGCATGGGTCACAAACCGCTCCTGCTCAGCGCAGGTCGACCCACTTGGTCATACACAGCTCCTGCCCTTGGTAGGCCGACCACACGATTCGTTAACGCGCACTCAATTGAGGCCAGCTACTCTGCCCGACATTCCCATTCTTCCAAACTCACTCTCTTGTCTTTTGGTGTGTCGCGTCCTGCACGCGTGTGTGTCTACTCTATACTCTAGCATGGGGAGTAGAATGTTAATTATAAATAAAATTACTATTTTCAAGAGTTTTTAGGAAATTAGAGGCCACATGCCACGTACTGCTCTTTTCTCTCCGAAACTCAACACTTGCAAGCCAGATATGAAAGAAAGAAAAAGTCATCAGTCACACCGCCGGGACTCGAACCAGGGGGGACCTTGCTATTCGCGAGCAATGCTCTAACCAACTGAGCTACAGTATGACTCTTATCCACAGTGATGGTAAATCTATCCTTCTTCACTTTGAAATTCTCCGTGAAGTCCAAATTTGAAATTGCATTTTCAAGAGTTGGTGAAACATCCTTCGCAATAGACCTGAATGCGGGCCTGGTTGTATAAATTACAATGGGGGATAATGTAGGATAGCAGTTCAAAATTGCAATCTTTTTGCGGAAAATGCAATTTTGCCCTTTCCACGTCAATTTTGTGATAATACGCGTTGCAGATTCAAATTGTGCAGTAGCTATATCTGGGCTAGGTTCAAGAACGCTTATCATGACTAGCTTGAGTACTTTGATTACATTCAGGACCATGTAAAATCATCAAAATTTCAAAGAAGGAATTTCGAACAACTTTTGACTTCTTACATCATGGTCGCTAGTTATGGGTCAAAGATCGACCTTGGGACAAGAAAAGGCCGTCGCTGGTCGCGTTCAGCAGGTAGTCGCTAGTGACAGTGCATTTTGAATGTGAGACCGTCCGTGCATGGGAAAGTGGTCGGTAGTACCAGGCTGGTCGCTAGTCTGCACGGCGGTCTTTAGTTACAGGTTTTGCTGTATCTCTTATTGGCAATGGCGCCATCATGAGAATAAAGAAGTAAAACCCACACCCTTCACATACAAACTAGCACGCGGGGAGCCCCTAGTCATAAAATACGCGCTGATTTGAGGGAAAGATGCTTTACTCTATTCCCTTCAAGTTTTAGAGATTTATAGAAAAGAAAAAGGACCAAGGAACTGCAAGTTACGCTATAATGTCCACTAACAATAATATATTCGCCAGAATAAGATCGACAGAGAACTACATGAGCAAGAGCACAATTATTACATCTATACTTCAAAACGACAAGCAAGGAATTATCGAAATCAGAAAACCAATAACTCACGTACCTGGCATACAGGTCAATGGTCGCTGGCAGAGTACACGCTTTACTTCAAACACTACAGAATAAAGTACACATGGCAAAGCAGTTGACGACAGTGTACAGTGCATGCATGTATAATGTGTAGTACACACAGAACAGCGTATGGCGTACAGATCATGTACAGACTATGGATTCAAACATAACCAACACCACCAGTTACTAAACAATCAGCCCATGCGATAACATTATAGTGTAACTTGAAGTTTATTGGTCCTTTTTCTGTTCTATAAATTTATCCTTGGATTTCCATCCGAGTCCATTTTAGAGATTTATTTGGAATGTTGGTACGGAATGAAACAATAAAAGCCCCTCATGAAAACAAGCCTCCTAAAAAGGCTTTTTTTTAATAGAAGCCCGGGTTTCTAATGGAGAGAGTGTGGTTGCCCTGAAGATCAATTTTCTCAGATGTTGGGCCAAATATTGTTAGTTTCATGGCAACGCTACAGTACGTCTCCAGTGCACTGGTTGCACGCCGGGTGATAATGCTGAAGCAATTGTTGCATATCTCCTGTATACTTGCATGCTGGCTGTTCATTGAGGCCCTGGGCGACACCACTGTCACTCTTGACTATGTGATTTACCTCTGAGTCTATAATCATGAATAGCACAATCAAAGTACACCTTGCAAGCAAACCCAACCATACAATTGCTATGAACTGATTTTGGGAAATGATAATCAATACAACATAGTACTATTACGTTTAAAACATGTAGTAGCCAAGTTTTGCTTCAGTCATATCAGTGAACCAACTATACACCACGCACCTCCATACACCTCCATACATCTCCATACACATGCTTTTAAAATTGTAAATCTTTGGCTGAAAATCACACATGTCACTATTTCAATGCTTGGCTTTGGTGATTTCGATGTGCAGATCCCCCGGAGCTGTGTACTTGGGCAAGCAGCCGAACACTTGTCTACAGACCTGATCAGAACCGCTCAATCAATGTGATGTGCTCATGCAATGCTGTTCCGTTTGCAACCTACACGCATACTAATGATTTGAGATATGGTCCAATGAAAGGCAAAACAACCACTAACGTTACTGCTTCTAACTCTCCACTGATTCTCACTATTCACCCCACTGCTGCCGGTATCTATGAATGCCAAGCAGCTAACAATGCCTCCACTAAACCTTCCGAGATTTTCAATTCAAAATTTACTATCGATATCAAAGGTGAGGTAATCAGGAAAACAGGTTTCTAGGTAGCGTTGGTATCAACTGTCAGAGATAGGACAACACAATATGCCACCTTGCTGAATGGGCGACAGGACTATGTATGTGTGTGTGCGTCTGTGTCTGCGTGCATGTGTGTGTGTGTGTGTGTGTGTGTGTGTGTGTGTGTGTGTGTGTGTGTGTGTGTGTGTGTGTATGTGTGTGTATGTATGCATGTATTTGTGAGTGTGTGCATGTGTGTGTGTGTGTGTATGTGTGTGTGTGTGTTCTGGTTTGAGCACCACTGTGACCGTGCGAAACGGATGTCACGTGCAGCCAGGAGCAACTCCCGTCATGAATGCGAGCATTGCGAAATGCGGTTCTCAAGGCCACAGGACTTGCAACGCCATGCCCAATTCTGTTGACTTTGCGGTTTCTCTCTCTTCTCTTCTCTCTTCTTGTGTTGCCTCCCGCTTCTGGGAGCGGCGTGGCCCGATGGGGTAGCTGTACATAGTAGTACATAGTAGTGTGTGTGTGTGTGTGTGTGTGTGTGTGTGTGTGTGTGTGTGTGTGTGTGTGTGTGTGTGTGTGTGTGTGTGTGTGTGTGCATTGCGAGGGATGAAGTGTGGCAAAGCATGCGGCGGATCCGAGATATCTGTGGAGATGCTGAAGTACGGTGGCCCTACCCTGATTGCGAAGTTGCATGAACTGATACGGGTGGTTTGGGAGACTGGCAGCGTTCCACAGGATTGGTCTGACGCTATCCTCGTCCCCATCCCCAAGAAGGGTGACCTGGGGTCTTGCGACAACTGGCGTGGGATATTGTTACTGGATGTGGCTGGAAAGCTATTTGCTCGCATGATTGCCAATCGTCTGCAGGTTCTCGGAGAAAGGTGCTTGCCTGACTCGCAGTGTGGTTTCCGCAGGGGCCGTGGTTGTTCGGATATGGTGTTTGCTGTGCGGCAGATCCTGGAAAAGTTGCACGAACATGCCACGAAAGGTTTCGCTGTATTTATCGATCTGAAGAAAGCGTACGACTCGGTTCCGCGGAGTGCTATGTGGAGAGTGTTGGCTAGACTTGGCGTCCCAGGGAATCTGATCACCATCATCAGTTCCTTCCATAGCGACATGAGTGCCAGTATTCGTGTGGGTGGAGACCTGTTTGCACCGATTCGGGTTGAGAACGGCTTGCGGCAGGGTTGCACTATGGCCCCAGTTTTGTTTAACCTATACATGTGTGCAGCCTTTGAGAGATGGCGTGGCGTGATTGCTGATGATGGTGAGCTGGGGATCCCACTCGTCCAGTTTCGGAGGGAGCGGCTTTTCAACACCAGATTGGCAGAGTATCGCAGAGTTCGGCTGACGGAGTTTCAGTTTGCGGATGATTCGGCCCTGCTCGCAGTTACGCATGCTGGTGCTGAGAGGGCTCTATTCTCGTTCAGGGATGTAGCTGGTGCGTTTGGCCTTAGTGTCAATATGTCCAAGACCAAATTCATGGCGGCTGGGGCTGGATTTGTGGATGCCGACCAGACCCCTTTGGATGGTGTTGTTGACCACGTTGAGGCCTTTCGCTATCTCGGTTGTCATGTTACGCCAGACGCCCGGAGCTCATTTGATGTGTCTCGGCGAGTTGCTGCCGCATCGGGTGCGTTCTGTACACTGCGGGAGTCGGTTTTCGACAGTGATGACTTCAGCATCGCCATCAAGTGCATTGTGTATGGAGTGACTGTCCTGGCGGTCCTTCTTTATGGATCTGAGAGTTGGACCGTCAGGCAGCGTGATGTCCGTCGCCTGGAATCTTTCACCAGCAGTGTGTGCGCTCCATCCTGAAGATAAATCGTGGCCGGCAGATCGAGGAGCACATCTCCTCTCTCCAGGTTCGCAGGATGTGGGGCGATATGGAGGAGATCGCGGATAAAGTCAGAGTCCGCCGACTTCGATGGCTTGGCCACGTGTCCCGCATGCAAGATCGGATCCCTCGTCAGCTGCTGTACGGCGCGTTACCCTCCAAATGTCCACCGGATGGACCCCGTAAGCACTGGAAGGACTCCGCGAAGTGCGACTTGATGGCTGTTGACGTTCCTCTGGAGCAGCTTGGTGACATCGTCCAAGATCGACAGGGATAGCGGGTCACCTGCCGTGATGCTGTCGACGCTATTGTCCAGTCCCGCATGGAGCCTGTGGCGAAGCCCCTCATCTGTGGCACTTGTGCGCGCGGTTTTCGTCGGCCGCAGGATTTTCCGAGGCACAAGTGTAACGCTGTTTGCGCGGCCCTCGCGCGCTGAGTATGGCGTTCCCCGCCCGGTGGACAACACGTCTCCTGGTCTGCCCCGTATGGGGCCACATAGCCAGTCATGGCAGTGGAAGAAGGAAGGAAGGAAGGTGTGTGTGTGTGTGTGTGTGTGTGTGTGTGTGTGTGTGTGTGTGTGTGTGTGTGTGTGTGTGTGTGTGCGTGTGTGTGTGTGTGTGTGTGTGCATGTGTGTGTGAGAGACACACACAGAGACACAGACACAGACACAGACACAGACATGGAGATAGAGAGAGGTGTGTGTATATAATGTGAGTGTGGTTGTATGTTTGTGTGTGGGCGTGGATGTGGGGGTATGAAGGTAAAAGTTTGAGATACGGTATTTTGTAAAGAGAAAAGTACCTATAAGTTACTAGTTATATGACTAACAGTCCACCAAGGTAACGAGATAATATACAGTCAGATAGTGCGACAACAAGGCACAAAACTGACAAGGATGTTGAGACATGCCTGCGATGCTGCGCCGCTGCTTTGCATGTCATGATTGGAAGCTGTGGCCTTAGTAAAAAAAAAAAAAAAAACATGCGACAACCTGACACCTAGTTCCAACACATCTACATGTACCTTCCCCTCATTGGAACTTTCCGCGCCTGAGCCTTCCAAGTCGGAAGGTTGTTGGTTTGCGCTTCGTGGATGCCATTCACGGTCTTCTACACCGGAAGCAATACGCCCTTTGACCCGTATGTCGACTCGCTGAGTTTCCAGAGCAGCGCTGATGCAGACTACCGTAGTCACTACCATATTTTCCGGAGTATAGTGCGCACCTTTGTATAATGCCCACCCCCAATCTTCATTGGGGGTGCGCACTTCAATCTTCATTGAAGTACATGCATTTCATATTCCGAGCATAGCGCGCACCTGCGATTTAGGGCCTGAAATAGCACATCTAAAGTGCGCACTATACTCCGGAAAATACGGTAGATCTTAATTTGTGCGACTGTCGACTGGTCTATGGGCCAGTACGGTAGAAGCGCAGTCATTCCGACTGGATACTGCAGCATAAACTGGTGTGTACCGGTACGCGATCTAAGTGATGCATTTGGCGCACGGCGATGTTGCGAGTTTTCGCGCCTACACTTCAGACCCCATCGTATCCCATGTTCCGTAAAGATGTGCTGCTAGCTAGCACAGCAGTATTCGTTTGTATGACTGGGATGACAGAGTCACTCAGTCTTTGCTTTTCCTCCGAGTAGTAACATCGATGAGAGAGCGTTTTCGATGCACTCTCCAAGTCGTTTCCTATCATGTTTGTTCTTGACAGTGTAACGTTTGGGTTTGTCCCAACGTCAAACACAAGACTCCTCTCAACAGCTCCAGACAACGACTGAGGTTTATTTACAAGAAGAAGGAAAGATAAAGATAACATTCATGATGCGTATATGTACACAGTACGGGAATGCATAGGTAACTGATCCAGAAACAGATCGGGTACATCGATAGACTCGTGAGAGTACAGAGTACATAGAACGATAATTAGTGGGTGTGGTGAGCAAGGCTATTCTGGAGAAGATCGTGGCTGCTGTGCATCGCCAAACGGCCGTGAACCTATGGAGGAGCACCATGTCAGTGATCGAATGGTTCAAGGAGATACCCGACAAACAGCGCCACACGTTCCTATGCTTTGACGTGGTAGAATTCTACCCGTCAATTGGTGAGCAGCTTCTCCGTCAGGCCTTATCGTTCGCGGAGCAATTCACCATGATCGAGCCGCGTGAAATGGACATCATCCTTCACGCCCGGAAATCGCTCCTATTCCACGATGGCCGCCCCTAGACGAAGGACAAGGGCGACATGTTTGACGTAACAATGGGAAGTTACGATGGCGCCGAGACGTGCGAACGTTTGGGCGCCTTTCTTCTCAACCAGCTCTCAATCCTCGTCGATAGATCCGCTATCGGCCTCTACAGAGACGATGGACTGGCCGCCCTCAAGGACACCGGCACACAGGCTGCAGACTGCCTCAGAAAAAATCTGACGGAAATCTTCAAGCACTTCGACCTAAAAATTACCATCGAAGCGAACTTGAAGGTGGTGGATTTCTTGGATGTCACGATGAACCTGGACACCGGGAAATTTCAACCCTTCCGAAAGCCAAATGACAACCCGCTCTACGTCAGCAAGCAGTCCCACCACCCGCCTGGGATCACCAACAACATCCCTGCTGCTGTCAACAAGTGCCTTTCCGCTATATCAAGCGACGCGGAGACATTCAACCATGCAGCCCCCGTGTACCAGACCGCATTAAAGGCCACACCGACTCCGCACTCATGGTCAAAATGACCTGCGTTCATTTTTTCAGCTGTTCTATCGAAAGTGTCCTTTTACGACCTTGGAAAATCAGCAAAATTTCAAGAACTTGAAAGGAGCTTCGAGCAACATTTGATTTCCTACATCGTGGTCGCTAGTTACGGGTCAAAAATCATCTTTGGGAAAAGAAAAGGCGATCACTGGTCGCGTTCAGCAGGTAGTCGCTAGTCATAGTGCATTTTGAATGTGAGACCGCCACTGCCAGGCGAAGTGGTCGGTAGTACCAGGCTGGCTGCTAGGCACTGTTATGTTCACAGCCACCCAAAGAAGAGTCGACCAGGAGAACAATATGACTACATTATACTTTCAGAGGTGGAAAGGGAAAGTTCTACTGACCAGGAAAACAGCACGGTCAAGAGAAATAGAACAGAGTGCAAAGTGCAACGTGTACGGTATGCGAGTCACGTGACCAAATAATGACATCATAATAACATAACATTCCCCCTTCTTCGAGATCAGAGAGGAAAAGATGGACTGTGATCTGCACAAACAAGAAGCAGAAATATGGAATACCGGTGGGTAAACAAGTAGACATACAAGGTAAGGAGTCACATACTGACCAACCACCACAATCTCAATCCCTTGACAAGACATGCAGAATCCCTGGATTTCTCTCAAAATCCCTGGATGGCACAAAAACAAGTGAAAAAGAGCTTTTCCCGCCAAAAAAACGTTCGACTCTGCAGCTGTGCGTACAGCACAGATCGACCCTGTAGGCTGTAGTGCAGTTTGATCAGTCGGCGCCCGCCTGTCACTTTGTCAGTGCAGATCTTGCATCGTCAGGTCTTCAAAGTGCTGTGCACAGTTCGAAGTGCGAATGAGCACGGTACATACCTTTGAAAAAAGTTCAAAAAACCGGGACATTCGGGGAGAAACCATGGAGTTTTCAGGAAAATCCTGTATCAGACAAAACTTTGGTTTTTCCGGGAGTTTGCTTAAAATCCCCGGGACCCCGGGAGGAGTGTTGATTTTCCGGGATTTTCCCGGGAAAAACGGGAGGGTTGGCCAGTATGGTGTCATAGCATGAAACATACTGAATGGCACTAAACTGGACAGTGCAGTCACACATAGGATTGTCCAGAGTGGGAGCGGATATTACGCCGATCCACCGGGCGAGACTGACATGTGCTGTGATGGGGCACAGTGTGAGCACCTGGAGCAAGAGTCACAGAAGGGGCAGGAGCCACAGCTGCAGGAGTGTCCAAACATGGCGGGACGTAGGGACGCAGGAAACGACGGTTGCGCCAAAGGACATGGCCACTGGGGAGCTTCACGTAGAAATCTCTGCGATCACTAATGGTGACGATGATACCATGTGACGGCCAACACTTGGTCTGCGGGTGCTGCAGGTCCACATGACAACCAATTTGCCAAGGGACGGAGGGCTCGAGCCGACCGGTTGAAGCGTGTAATGTTGGCTGTGGGTTGAGGGAGACAGCGGCCTCTCGCCAACCAGGGGTAAAGGCAGTACGGTGGGCATAGAGGAAAGAGAGCATCGGTCTCTCGTACAACACTTCGGCGGGACTGCGACCATCGGCACGCGGCGTATTCTGCCATTCGAGCAATGCCTGTTGGAATGCATCAACATCCAAGTTGCCATTGTGAGTGGTCTTCAGGCCGAGATGCTTGACAGCTTTCATGGCAGATTCAGCGTGGCCATTTGACCGCGGGAAATGTGGCATTGACATGAAGCGAACCACACCCCAAAGTTGGCAGAATTCCCGGAAGCGTGAGGACGAAAACTGCGGACCACCGTCAGTCACAAGCTTGCGAGGCACACCAACATCAGTGAACCATCGGCGAAGCTGGCGGAGGACATCGTGGGATGAAGCTGTATGGCCAATCTGGGCTACGCAAGGCCAGCCAGACAACCGATCAGAATACACTAAGATCTCCCAGCCCTGGCAAGTGAAGAGGTCAGCACTGACATGCTCAAACGGAAGAGCAGGAGGCGGGTCACCCAGCACAGTCTCTTTGGGCTGTGAACTCTGCATCTCACAACAGGACGGGCAGGCACAGACGACATTGGAAATGCCATTGTTAATGTGAGGCCAGTACACAATTTGGCGGGCTCTGCGTTTTGTGTGTTCCAAAGCTTGCCCGTGTCCTACACACGCAGAGGAGGACGGGCATGCAGTCACATCTTCACGGGAAGAGGAAGATCCACTGATGGACTGGACAGCACATTTTGGAGGACGATTATTGCGGGTTTTTTTGGGACAGTGCGTGCGTTCAGTGTGAAGAAGGATGTTCTACCTACCCTTAGTAAAAGTAACCTTATCTATTTCTTTCAATGCCGACAATGTAAAGATCGGTATGTAGGTAGAACCCTTCAGCACCTGGGCGCACGCATTCGTCAACATGTGCCGTTAAGTTGTGTTCCGCTTGATGCGCGCGATTGTCGTCCTCGCCGTGGTTTCCTCCAAAATGTGCTGTCCAGTCCATCAGTGGATCTTCCTCTTCCCGTGAAGATGTGACTGCATGCCCGTCCTCCTCTGCGTGTGTAGGGCACGGGCCAGCTGAGAACAGCATGAAAGATGGTGAAAGACTGACACGTAAATCACCGAAACTGACAAAGGATCTGTCGGTGTCGGGAAGGGTGACCCGAAGCCAAGTGAAAATACGGATTGGTGAGGACGAACGTACAACGACAACGGAAGTGATAACAACAGTCAATATTCGAAAACGTGGTAGACCGCGAAAACTAACCTCAATATCTGACACCGGACAAGTTGGAGTAAGAAGCTCAATAGAAATCCGCAATGGAGGAGACGTAGCTGAAAGGACACTGGGCATCGCGCACACAACGGTTAGTGTCAAGAAACGTGGAAGGCCACGGAAACGCGAAGAGACGGATAGTGGTGATGCCACAAAGAGGCGAGATGACAGGACATTGGAGGAGACAACACCCAACCGAGCTAAGAATCGCACTTCGTCAATCAAGCAACATCTGTCAGCCCGTACCAATTGTCGTGAGTTGTACAGTGATAATGTTTTCTCAATATTGTCACGTGGTAGATGTGCGTTGCATTTGGCTGTGTTAGAAGCTTTGTATATCCGTAAGTTAGATCCTGAACTTTGCATACAGAAAGAAAATGTGTTGTCGCTACAATTGTTTGGTGTTACTCCTCGTCGAGGTGTTAACAATGTAACTTAAAATTTGCTCACTATGTTGTTGTCACCATTATTTTTCCTTCGAGTTTTGTGTCGTGCTGAACTTGATAATTTTCCACCTTGTCACGAGTGTTGTTATCTAATTATCTTTACGCTATATAAGGCAGGCAGGCATAGTGGGATGGTCTAAGACCATGATTGAGAAACAGAGGGTACCAGGTTCAAGTCCTGCTTGGAAGCGGAAGGAATTTAATTGGGAACTCGTGGCCTGGCACGAGGAAAACATGGATGAAGTGAATGGGATTTTCGGTCTTTGACCACATGCTGGTGAGCTGATCTACTCACCTCCCACCGCTTTAGGAGCTGCATCTGCGCCTTGATCCTTGAAGGGTGGTGGCGTTCCTACGGATGCGGAAAACTCGGCCTCTATATAGAGAAACCGAGTCTGACGCGAACAGTGAATTTTTTTATATATATATATAAGTTTTAGTCTTTCCAACTTGAGCCATTCCCTGTATAATCCTTGATGAGAAGGGACCGAAAACGTTCGGATACTTATGACAAGTGCCTCATTGTGACTGGATGTGTGTTTGCGTGGATACTTGCGACCCATAACTTACCTTCGTTTTAAAGTATTATCCGCCTCCGACCTCTTTTAAAAACTATTATTATTATTACGAGTATGATTCTTTATTCCACTCCAAATTGAAAATGAGAATAAAAATTGGAGGTATCACACTAACTCACCGGACTAATCATAGCCAAAGGTAAGCAGCACGGAATAATATATGGAAAAAAGTAAGGTAAAAAAAAGCAGCACGGAATAATATATGGAAAAAAGTAAGGTAAAAATGTTATTATTATTATTGTGAAAAGAAGAAGGACAAAATGTTACGAGTTATGACTAACTGTCCACCAACGTAACCAGATCGTATACAGTCAGCGAGTGCGACAAAATGGCACAAACCTGACAAGGGGTACTGAGACATTCGGCGACCTGACACCTGATTATTATTATTGTTATGCTTACAGCACCTCCACACATGAGTTTCACTGACAATACTGTCACTGTTGGGGACAATATCACGGTCAACTGCACAGTGAGCAGCTTCCCTCAATCAACAGGTTTAGTATGGAGATATGCAAATAACACGAATATTGTTGACAATAGTGTATTTACGGTAACAAAGCATGGCATGCCTCTGCTCAATGGCAACAGTGGCCTGTTTGAACAAACGATATCCTTGTCCATTACTGATGTGAAGCAGTCACACCGACTTAATTACCTGTGTGTGGCCGACAATGGCATATCTCCCATTGAGCCGGCTCTGGATTTCCGTGGCAATAGTGATGTTACCGCAACTGCAACACTGAGTCTTAATGTGCAAGGTAAGCATTGGTTTCAGTCTGGGAACATAAAAGGAAACCTTATCTCCCAAGGATGTTTGAACTTGACACTTCGATAAGGAAATCACAAGAGAGCATGTCCCTTTTTGGTCCCACTGCACACTATAATATGTTGTCACAATTGCATTTGTCTTACACACAGAGTTTATAGGGTTTACCGGGTGTTAGCGGCCGTCGTGAGTTCCCTTCGGGAACGGACACAATAATTTACTTTTTTTACACAAACTTGAAAGAAGGAATATAAAGCGTTTCACCTAGGGTCTGCACCTCTGCAACTTGGTGTATCGAGCGCTGTCACAAGCAACCGCAACTCTCTCCGAGTGTGTTTTCTGACTTACGAATGCCGTATTTCCCCGACTATAAGTGGCACCTTTTGCAACAAATCACAAGGTCGAACAAGGGGTGTGGTGTGACTTAAAATCACGTGTGATGTATTAACTATCGCTGAGGGGAACATACTGAAACCATGACGAAGACCTCAAAATGTGGGTGTGACTTATAATTGGGTGCGACTTACAATCGGGGAAATACGAGTAGCTTCCTAAATGTGCAAAACGTATTATACTTGTATAGGAACTTGTTGCCTGTTTTCACATCCGCAGTTTTACCAGGTGAAATCGCGCCCAACGTTCAAAGCTGGTGTCATGCACCTGTTCAGATTACACTCATATCTTAAGCTATCTGGACACCAGAGTTACGAGCACGTCAGTCTACCAGTACTCCTATTTTGACCGGGTTTTAGGGCATTATTACCATTCCTTTGTCACTTTTGAGGAGGATTTTTTGAGCAATTCTTTGGCAATCCATGATCAAGTATGTATGCTTTCCCATGTTTGTCTTTAGGATATAGTGCCAGGTCAAGACACAGTCATGGATCTACAGTCCGCTTTTCTCCTTTGACTACCCTAGCTGAGATGTACAAATTCTATGTGCCTTGATCTCTGGGATATGCATGATGGTGTCAGGGAGTCAAATGGCAGCGAAAGACTGATGTCATAAAAATTGTCCGCCGTGGGCTGGGGGATCGCCGAGTTTTGCAAACTCTTGGTTATGTACTCTTGATAATGCTGTAGCCATTTCGTATCAGAACATATGCAATTCATAGGTACTGATGCTTCGTAGTTACTCACAGTTCCCCGTTACCAACCACATGGATAAAGGAGATATGAGTGTACATCACTAGATGTACTAAGTACATGTATCAGCCAAGTAGCATTCACACCACTTCCAGAGTGTCAAGGGCCGTGCAAGTCCAAGTCGCCAAATAGGCAATTTTTGGGTTTCACTTAGCACCACTGCAATCAATCACTGTATTAAACTTGAGAGAGCATGTCTGAGAATACTGGCAAGTGGATCTCTCCGATGTATCTCAAAATTTGCAGGTATGTTCCCTTTGGGGTGTAGATCGATTGTGCAAAGCCCTTGAAAAAGTTTCTGAACGGAACCTTGAAACTTGCATACCCCTCAAAAATGGCCGAAATATCACACTATTTATAGGTCTACAAAGGAGTCACACCACAGCGTATACGAACAAGCTACGAACAAAACTCTATCAATCCAACATTGCCTCACCTTAGAAGAGTTCCTGGAGCAGTACCGCTTAGCCACACCAGGATCCCAGAAGACCAGGGTCATCACCCCCTGACGCCACAAATGATCGTCTTGAAAATAGCCAATTTACAAGCGCTGGCAAAACAGCCAGCTATGTCCTCAATTGGCAAGAACTATACACCGACAGATAGTAGAACACCTCTTCTAGCGCTGAGGACATGCCCCCCATCTTCCTTTTGGGGTTTTCTTGAAATATACTTTTTTGAATTTTTCCTCTCGACCATGCCGAAATACGGCCAAAGTCATATCTGTGCAGGAAAGCTCGCCCCTCCGCGATGTCTCCCCAGAAATTGCTACTCCAACACAACTCCCAACTCTGCAGAACAAATTGTATTGTTGACTCTGACAAGGAAAACCAGCGGTGATCACTTGTCACTACAAACGACAAGCTTCTCCTTGCGCCACCAACAATTTTTGGTGCGACCGTTGATGCAAAAGTGACTGAAGTCCTGAGCGCAGTTTTTGAATATTATTGTAAGATTTTACTGTTGGACTATGTTCGGGATTGCAGGAGGTAAGTGTGAAAGATGCATAGCTCTCCTTGCTGTGAGGGGGATATGCAAACGGATTGCTGCCATTGCAACACTCCTAGGACAGTTTGTGGGGGTTCTCCGCAGATCAAGCAGGAAATGCAGCGCATCTTACCCCCAACACTGGGGATTATAAGCTTGATATTGAGTCGTGACATTCAAGACGAAATGGAGCTAAACGTCAGGTCGTTGAATGTCAGTACCACAGCAGTCATTATTGTGTTATCTGTTGCACATCACGACTCATCAATATCAAGCTTATAATTGCCATTGTGGGTAACTACAGGAAACTTGTAAACATTTGGTCCTTTCTCCATCCGAGTTCAATTTTACTTTTAAAAATATAATCTTATTTCTTAATACGTGCAAGCTCCACTGCAGCCACTTCATTACATGAAATAACCCTACACACACCATCCTCAAATCAAGTGGTCTCTTCGCTGCAAATTGGAATATCTCAATCAAATTTACGACCAGGAGCCATCATCAGGATTGAGGAGAAAAACAAGTGAGGTAGGCCTATATCATGCAACACAAAGTGGAATGAAACTACACTCGTACTACGTGATAAAATTACACCATCCATTGGGCGCAGGCACGCGCGCGCGCACACACACACACACACACACACACACACACACACACACACACACACACACATACACACACATACATGTACACACACACACACCAAAGCACACAGACACACACTCACACTCGCACTAACACGCACACTCACATATGGTCACAATCAGTATCATACTGTTAGGTACCTCATCCCGTACATTCTACAACCTTTTCCAAGCTGGCCTGCATGCACCCTCGTACTCACCTTTTGTCTCCTTTTGTCACCTTTTGTTCTGTTGGCCTGGGTAGCTTCTTGCGCGCCAATATTTGCCATAGCCACCCAGGCCCTTTATCTTGCCGCCCTCACTCGATCTCTCTCTCTCTTTCTCTCTCTTCCGTAATGTAGTCGTTTCGTTCGTCTTGGTCTTTGTCTCCTCGTCTCCGACAATAAATGTTGTTCCACCTACCTGTTCCCGTTGTCCGTTATGTCTGGGAGCACCCTTTCTGTACTCAACAATACCCACACTAACACGTGTGCAAAACAGATAGACACACACACACACACACACACCTCAGACCTCAGACATGCCCATCGCGGAAGCGATGATAGCGAACAGCTATGTTAGACATAGCAACTTGTGCTGGGATTACACCACTCAACAGCTTGCAAGGCTGATGAATTGACCGCCACTATTTTTAGCCTGGTATCCACCACACAGCTGTTTTAAGTGACTTTTTCTGGCCAGTGAATCCCTATTTTTCATGTTTTCCATTTTTTCTTTTTTTTCTTCTTTTTTCTACACTCACACACACACCACACCACATACTCCGGCATACACTGGCTGTTGGTAACCACCCAGGAGAATGAAAGTGTCCCATATGGTGCAGTGGTATGTGCAGTCGATTTCCAATCGAGAGGTTGCGGGTTCAATTCCCGACGATTATGGTCGCACACGTCTTTCTTCTCTTTCTCGGACTCTTCCACACACACACACACACACACACACACGTGCACACACACACACATGCACACACACACACACACACGAACCAATGTGCTTGAAAACAAGGTGTGAATATTGGTGGGACTATGACGAAAGGAGAGATTCTGTCACCAAACTGCACTTACGCTACAACATTGTGCTGAACTGTATAACAATGGCATGAACAAGCACACATGACAACAGGACAGGATAGTGGCAACAGTAACAGCGATCACCAACCAAATTTTACATGGTAAATTGTCAAGCAGTACCCAACCAGACCATCCACATATCCAGACGCCATCCGAAAATGAACAATGATCGCAATTGATAGTGTGAAATTTGGTTGATGATCGCTGTTACTGTTGCCACTATCCTGTCCTGTTGTCATGTGTGCTTGTTCATGCCATTGTAATACAGTTCAGCACAGTGTTGTAGCGTAAGTGCAGTTTGGTGACAGAATCTCATCTTTTTGTCATAGTGCCACCACTATTCACACCTTGTTTTCAAGCACATCGGGTGTTTGTGTGTGTGTGTGTGTGTGTGTGTGTGTGTGTGTGTGTGTTTCTGTCTGTTGTTAACACACTTGTGAGCGTGGGTGTCATTCTGAGTCTGAGCATGTGTGGGTGTTGGTGCGGGTGCGAGTGTGTGTCTGTGTGTTTTGGCATGTCCGTGGGTATGTTGTACTTTTATCACGTATGGTATAGTTTCATTCCACTATGTATTGCATGGAATAGGTCCACCTCACTTGTTTTTGTCCTCAATCCTGATGATGGCTCCTGGCCGAAATTTGATGGAGATTATTGTAATTTGCAGCAAGACCACTTGATTTGAGGATGACGTGTGTAGAGTTTTTCATTTCATTTTATTAGGGAAACAAGACCACTTGATTTGAGGATGACGTGTGTAGAGTTTTTCATTTCATTTTATTCCCGTAGCTATGCAGAAGACGTTACTTCAGTAACGTCTGGCGCTAGCCAGGATCCACACAGCTTTAATTTGGTATTTGTGTGTGTGTGTGTGTTTGTTTGTTTGTGTCACGCCTGGCGCTATCCCGTATCTGTCCCGTACTGTACCGTACCAGTAAAGACAGCTGGCCACAATTTGTTTGTTTGTTTGTGCCATCGACATGCCTGGCGCTATCCTGTACCTGTCCCGTACCATCAAGAGTACGGTACCATCAAGAGAATGAGTATATATGCGAAGTGTATCGGGGGAATGCATTCAGTGCAGTAACATTTTGTGTGGATATGTGTGCGAGGCCGAGATCCCACTAGCAGGCTGGCTGGGCCGCCTGTCGACCAGCCCGGGAATCGCATGTAAGCCGATAGCATAATAATTATAACGTATATACAGTCAACAGTTTCCTCTGAGACAAAAATGCGATAATACTCATAAAAAGGACACACTTCAGGCTCATTACAAACATCTTGAAAGTTTTTGTCTTCACAAGTATACTTTCAAGCCTTCTCATCAGGTGAAATACAGGCAAGGGAAAAGGAACAGGAACAGTGGATTAAATACAGTAAGAAGGTGGTAAAACAGCGCAAAAAGAAAGAAAGAAAGAAAGAAGATAGCTAAAGTAAACAGCGAAAATTGCAATAATGACACAAAGGTGCAAATGCGAGAAAACTCAATAAGCGCGACATGTAGTGCGACAACAAGAGACAACCACTGGACATACATGTAACTAACGAGGTTTTGACGACCTACCTAACAGCCTAAGTGTGAATTTGATTTGTTTCTGCTTGCAAAGGTTGGGTTTCCTTGTGTGGATGTATACAGCTTCCAAAACATTCAGCAATCTAGCACTGCGTACACGTGACACAATCGAAAAACAATCATCCGAATACACAGCACGACAATCAGGATGCTCAAACAAATGACTAGCAATGGACGACTCATACTTATCAGAACTAACATCAGAACAATCAGCATGTGCGGTGGACACATCCGATTTCACATGGCTAGTCGAGTGGACCCTAGCCGTTGCCTCTGTCTGTGCTTTAGTCGCTGCCATCGCCGCCGTTGCCGATCTTGTCATTCTTCTGGTTGATGCGGTTCCTGTCACTGCCACGCACGTAGGTGTCTTGTCCGGTTGTTTTTCTGGTGGTCTAGTTAATTGTGAGGTGACGTTGCTTCGTGTTGATGCCGCTGCGTTGGACCATCTTGTACCAGGATGATTCTTTGCTGGACGTCCCCTCCGTGGTCGAGTGGATCGTGCGTGTTGTGGAATAAGGTGTAGCGGTGCGTGTTGTCGGATGCGTGCGTCCAGATGTTGAAGAGTCCTACCTACATATCGGCTCTCACATTGCCGACACTCGAAGTGATAAATCAACTTGGATAATTGGCACACAAGGAAACCCAACCTTTGCAAGCAGAAACAAATCAAATTCACACTTAGGCTGTTAGGTAGGTCGTCAAAACCTCGTTAGTTACATGTATGTCCAGTGGTTGTCTCTTGTTGTCGCACTACATGTCGCGCTTATTGAGTTTTCTCGCATTTGCACCTTTGTGTCATTATTGCAATTTTCGCTGTTTACTTTAGCTATCTTCTTTCTTTCTTTCTTTTTGCGCTGTTTTACCACCTTCTTACTGTATTTAATCCACTGTTCCTGTTCCTTTTCCCTTGCCTGTATTTCACCTGATGAGAAGGCTTGAAAGTATACTTGTGAAGACAAAAACTTTCAAGATGTTTGTAATGAGCCTGAAGTGTGTCCTTTTTATGAGTATTATATACAGTCATGTAGATGTATAGCAGGGAGTCATATTATGTAAACGTCTCCCTGCTGTATGGGGAGATTTTCTGCAAAGAAATACGAAGTAGGGAGACGAGTAAATGCAATCAGAATGGATGTTAGTTGCCGTCAGTATAATCATAAGAAGAAGAAGAACGCCTGTGATCGGCAGAGTCAGCGACGGTCCCAGGAAACGTCAGGACAGACATCCCGTCGACTCCAGAACGCCCGTGATCGGCAGAGTCAGCGCCGGTCCCATAGCTATGCAGAAGACGTTACTTCAGTATCTCATTGAAACGTTTTTGCAATACAATGTAGCTTATCAAAGGAAAAAGCATTTCCATCAGTTCTAACAACATGCACGATGAGCTAGGCAACAAAGCATAGCGCAGGGCCCTGAGCTTCCAAGCTCTCTCGTTAGGGAAACTAAATTCTGACCATTAATTAAGTATGTACAAATAAAAGAGGTGCATGTCCAGTTTTCAGCTGAGCTTACCATGTATCACTGTCAAGAGTCTCTTCATATCAGGTCTAATCAGTGCAATTCTCACCCTACAGTCTTTGTCACTCATCTTGCTTGTTATAAATACTCTATTTTACAGGTCTTTTCCGGACCCGACTTTTCATGGACGCACCAAGACAAAAGGTCTACCATGTTGATCAAGCATTGATAGCTAAATGTACAGCCACAGGCAATCCTCAACCAGCGATTAAGTGGTTCAGTACCACTGCAAGCTTTGACAATGCTACTGAGACACGCAGTGGGGTCAAGGTTACCAAATACAGCTTCAATACTACAACTGAACAAGCCGTCGGTATTCTGCAGATTGATAACATCCAGTACTCAGATGAAGGCTACTACTGGTGTACTGTTGATAATGATGTTGACATGACTGACTCGAATTCACTCAATGTCACTGTTTTAGGTAAGTCCCTAGTTAGGGGATATGAAAAATTGTAAAATTCTATTAACCTTAGGGATTTGTTTGAGATACAAACATGTGAGCGCATGAACCTTCGTCGACTAGGAGAGTCCTGTTCAAGTACACATGACAGCTAAAGAAGTGAAAGAGATGTATATGTGCATTAATGTTGCTAATGCCGGTTAACACACACTCTGTGCATGCGCAAGTTTCCCGTACATAAAACAGAGCTTGCTGTCTTTTCCAGTTTCCTTGCCCGCAGACAGCTTTCAAATTCTGACCCAACCTCCTCATCCCATTTCTTACTCCTACTCTATTCTCAACCTCTCCTAACTGTGATTCAATATCCCAATTCTCTTTCACCATCCCATATTTTGAAACAAACAGTTGCGGGCACTCCTCCATAACTGGCCTCTCGCGCTCTACTATTAATCTTGCATGGGACATGAAATGTTCCTGCTCAACGCCGTCTGATCCACTTGGTCATATACAGCACCTGCCCTCGGCAGGCCGACCTCACGATTCATTAGCGCGCGTTCAACCGAGGCCAGCTATTCTACCCAACATTCCCATTACTCCAAACCTAACTCACTTGTATCCTGGTGTGTCGCATCCTGCACGTGTGTGTGTGTGTGACTGACCTATCCTCTAGCATGGGGAGTGGGATTTTTTTTATTTTTTTTTATTTCACCGTCCAATGGCAGAAGATGTTAACCCTTTGTGACCCCACTGAAAGTACGACAATTTACTCACCTTCAAAAACATGCACTTTTGCTTGTATCTCTGCCAAACATTCACCGATTTTTACAAACTTGCCACCGCTGGAAAGGTATTTCCAAGACGAAGCGACTAATACCACACTCAAGCCAGCTACCTGCATGGCTTCTGCTCTGCGTGGCCTAGAATGGCGCCCAAAACAGCAGCCGTGCGCGAACAGGTCCAGCAATGTTCAAACAGCTGCCATTCCATTCTCCTTCATCACATCGACTTCAAACAAACTACAGCGGAAAGCTCGTGTCAAGCACAAAATTTTGGTGTGCAGCATGCTTGAGTATGATGTAGCACTCCAGGGAAAACCTCTGCCAAGGGCAGTCTGAAAATTTAAATTTTTTCGATCGGAGTGAATTTTTCAGTTTTCCTACGACCTCAAGTCTCACCACGGCGGCATCGTACCTCGTAGAGACTTCGGATAACTTACTTGGACGTGATAGCCAAGGTTCCTCTCGAAATGTAGATGCTTCGTTTACGGAAATCAGTGAAGGAACACCAGAGATAAAAAAATTTAGTGCTACTGTATACCAATCGATCGTATATCAATCGATGGGGTCACAAAGGGTTAATGAGTGTTTATGGCATGCATATGGTTGTCTTCGGTAGCAGGTGAGTGCCATAAGAGCATATTTACCGATTTATGGTGCTTGAGGATATTGATTGATTTTTATTTAAGGATTGTCCAAAGGCCGCAGAGGCCTATCGAGGGGCTCTCCTATTATGTGCTTGCTTTAAAAATTAATACTGAAGTACTTGTAGTTCCACATGCCAGGTACAGAGTGATCGCGCATTTGAAGGAGTGAATAACCTAGCATACCATGGATAGTACGGTGGAGGTCCGGGAGGGGGCATTGGCAAGTTTGCAGGATAGCCATGCACAGTTTTCTCTTGGTGCTATTTGCATTATAGTGATATTTTCTCTGCTTCCGATTTTTCCAGGATCTCCAAAGAACACCCTGATTACTCCAACAATCACTGTCAACGAGAGCACCGAAATTGTCAACTTGGACTGTGAATTTACTAGCCTCCCAATTTCAAATGTGGCTTGGTATGACGGCTCCAGGGAAGAGCTATCTAACTCTTCACAAATCACTATTACTGTTTATCCACCAACAAAGACATCAGCAGGAGATTTCAAAGTAAAGTCGACACTGTCCTTGACCAATGTGACACGTGAAAATCTCAACAAGTACCTGTGTGTTGCAAGCAACGGTTTGGCAAATACAACAAACCAGATCAATATTGACCAGTCAAGCAGGGTGGAATCTTCCTTCTCGGCTACAGCAACAACCAGCCTCAATGTGTTATGTATGTCTCACAGCTGACTACATGTTTTGCTATGAGTTTCGATTGAAAATGTCTCTCTCTTTCAGAAGGTGAAAAACAGCCAGTAGTTAGAGAATGAAAGAGCTACAGTGAGATAGACAGACAGACAGACAGACAGACAGCCATCACACATACATGCATCCTCACATCCTTGCATTTATTCATTCATTCATTCATGTACACAAATAGTTAAAAGGATGCAAAATGCCACCTCCATTTCATTACTTTTTCAGATATTGGCCAACAGGATTTGTTTGATGTGTGCTTGTATCTGAATCAATACTGGGGTTCAATTATTGAAGTGGTTCTTGGCATCTTGTGAAAGTGAAAGTTTGCAGAAAGGTGCTATTAGGCAACTTGAGAAGTGTTCAAATAATTGTTCAGTATCCGGGTGTAGAGCTCTCTGTAGATATCGTACATGCAGTTGTATGTACGCATGTGTACGCATGCACATGTTAGTACCGCTTTATGTATAGCAAGAGAGAGAGAGATGACATGGCGCACTCTGATAGCGAACTAAAGAAGATCGGTTTAGCATAATGGCTGTCTTGTGAGGGACTGAATAGATGTATCCACACTCCACTACAGAAGTCAGAATGTTTGGTTGCAACTGTAATTAATTTTGATTTTGAGCGATCATAAGGGAAAATAATTTTCATGTTATTAAGTTTGTCTATGCGCACTGCAAGGCCAATTAGTGAGTGTTGGTAATAGTATGCAGGTGTGAACTGAATTAAGGGTTTTAAAACAACTAAACAACACTCAAAATAGCTAGCTGTCCATAGATTGAGTATACGCATACACAGAATTGTTACGTGGTAATTGCAAAGCCAACCACTTCTTCGCCATTACTTAGAGTTTCGTGTGAACAACACTTATGCTGCTTTGATGAAATAAACACAATATTATTTTGAGAGAAAGACCAAGGAACTACAAGTTACGCTATACTGTCCACTAACACCACCAGTTACTAAACAATCAGCTCATGCGATAACATCCATCTGAGTCAATTATTTTGAGGAAATTCTTTTGCAGGGCTATTTCTTGTAAGAAATAGCCGTACCGGTAGTGCCATGGCATGCAAGCTATCCTCATAATCCTCAGGCAATTCACCAGATACTGCTGCATGTGCTACATGATATTGTGCACTTGTATAGAATTGCATGATTTTCTCTATTAAATGCCACATATGTTACGTGGCATGTACAAAGTATGTACCTGTATTGTGATGGTCTGAAAACACGACCGCTCTCAATTCTCAACTCGCTCTCTCTCTCTCCTAGCACCCATCGAACCCCTAGTGTTGCATTTTGCACCATTGCTTTGACTTATTAAAATTCAAAGCAATAGCGCAAAATGCAACACTGTGTCCAGAGCATTGCATGTGTGCATAGCTGCCAGGAGATAACGTGTTGTGAAAGTCATAGTGGTTATTGTTATGTATTTGCATCCTGTATAAATTGGTATGAAAGGTGGTGGGGAGAGTAAAGGTGGCTCAGTTTGGAATCACTCGGTGTGAAAAGCCACTGAAAAGATCATTTGGGGTGAAGAATTGCACTCTTATGATTTATGGCACAAATCATTCCCCATTTTAGATGTGGACCATACATACATACATTGCATATCCCTTTGTAAAGACAAGCTAGTGAGCCGGTGAGACCAGTGAGACCAGCTCATTTCAAATGCAGGCTGTTACATAGGTCATTTTCTATGCAAAAAGGAACCAGGCCGCCCGTGGCCGTATAATCGAGTGCTTGATGCCCAAGGGCAGAGCCTCTTAGAACAAGAAACGGACTGAAAAACTGATGTGACTCTGAGCTTCATGCACAAGTAGGTGAGGTGCTCCTTGTATCAGACTACTCCTGTTGCTGCTATGATCCTGGTTGGTGGGTGATTTAAAATCTATTCTGCTGTTCTACATTGTATGCATTGTATGTATTGTATGGGAGCGGTTTTTCCAGCCGTGCCGCTACCCACGGTCAACTGGGAACTTGTGGCCAGGCACAAGCGGTACATGGATGCAGCTAATGGGGTCGTTTTCGGCACTTGTGCCAGTGGTTGTGAGACTTATCCACTCACCCCCACCATTAGGCGCTGCATCTGCCGCTAGGGTGTATCGGGTGTTAGCGGCCGTCGTGAGTTCCCTTCGGGAACGGAAACGATAATTTACTTTCTTTTTATTACATTGTATGTGCTTGCTGATATGCAGTTGGTGCCAATTTCACCACGGACTTACAGGAAGAGTATATTCTTGATGTGAGCCAGAACTTCACACTAACATGTATTGCCTCTGGTAATCCATTGCCGGTGATCACTTGGAACTCAACAGCAACATTGTTTTCTAATGACACGATCAGTGAGATCTGGAACGGCCAGTCCAAATCCCGCTCCCTTCGTATTGTGAATGCCAATGAAACACTCCATAGTGGAGTATACTATTGTGTCGTCAGCAACACACATGGCAGGGCTGTGTCGACTATGGCAAATATCTCCATTCAAGGTAAGGAACATGTTTCATGCCAGCTTCCGTCCTTAGTCAATTCCGGGATAATCGGGTCACTTGATTTTACCATGTTTGTTCCACTCACCACTTTACATGCCAAGTACAGTTGCAACACAAACGGGTCACATAAGAAAGATGTGAAACACCTGCCAAAATAAATACTCTTGGCTATTGCTTGGAGACTGTTACCTGACACTAGATCCCACCATTGCACTATTCAGCCAAATGCATTGAAGATATTATCTTTTGGTTCCCTAAGGCCAAGTTCATAGGTGAACCCTGGATTGCTCTCTTGTAGCATAGGCAACAACTGTGGATACTGGAAGGGAAAGCCAGGGTAGCTGCTGAGTTAGCAATCGGTTTGACTTTGTAAGTTATGCTGGAGCAGCTGAGTTAGCACTTGTTTTGCTTGTGTTTGAATGCTGTTTACTAACTGGCCTGCAGATATCAATGAATGTGGTTCCAACCCATGCATGAATGGGCAGTGCACCCCAGGCATTGCACAGTACACTTGCCAGTGTGATGCAGGATGGAGGGGGAGCAACTGTGAAATAAAAGCAGAAGGTAACTGTTGCACACATTGAGCAAAGCAAAGCATCACAAACTGCCTCCTATTTCCTTTCTTGTATATGTGTGTGCTGCAATTCTCGGATGACAGTTCTCTCGATTTATCTACCCACAAGAACAGCTAATCTACAAAGGAAGGGTTCAGAGAAGAAACGCAACCAAAACAATAAGGAAAACCCAACAAGTCCAAAGTTCCATTTCAGTAATGGGGATCGTTAGCTAAAGGACGGTGATGTTAACTTTTGCGGTGATCACTCCCAGCCATCACAAAACAGTTACCCAGTTACGGAAAGACAACATGACAGCCCTCAGGTTTACGGGCTAATGTTTGATATGTTGATCCTGCTTATTAAACCCCAAAATTGTACATGGATGCCACATAGTGTTTTAACTGGTTGGATTATATAAACACGTGCAGATCGAGATGGGTTCCTCTTTTGACGATTACCATTTTTTGTTTGTTAAATCAAGTATGGGTTGTCAGTTTTCAATGCTTACATCCTCTTTTTCGTCCATTCCACCCTCTATCCCATTTGGGATAAAGAGGACCTGGTTTATTTCTGATGAAGAAATTCTCTTCTTCCGAGAGGTGTTAGCGCAGAAGAACCCTTACAGCCGTGACTGCTGGGCGTGAGAAAAGGTTTATGGGAATCTGAAAGCAGAGATAAATTATTAATTTTGCGCCTTGCCTTGGCCGAGACTGTGTGAGGAACCTGGTCAACAAATTCATCTGAAACGACAACAAAGCCCCGCTCATGTATTCAAAAGTTCATAGCAGACTTAGCGGAGCACGTTCAGGTTGGGTTTAACTCAGAATTTTATGCAGCCAGGCAATCATCAGACACCACAATGTGTCAAAGTGCTAGATACACACAGTAGAAACATCACCAAACGAGTGGGTTTTGAATGTTTTTACAACATACAAATTGATATAAACTCGGATGTTGAGCCAATAGTAGTATGTAAAGAGAAAAGGACCAATAAGTTACACCCGTATTTTCCCCATTAAACGTACACGTCTCCAATACCAGTACGTCTCCCATTTTAGTACATGTTGACTGTGGATCAAAACTATAAAAGGAGTCTCTAATAATAGTACATGCCGGAATGATGTGATGGGCATTACTGGGGCACAGATACCAGGGTTCACCATACTTCGTTTTTATTACCCATTCATCATCGTTGTGCCTCTGTACACTGATCCTTACCATGGTTGGATGTATTCACAGCCTTGCAGCATCATGATCACGAGTGTTTTGCCACCCAACCGAGGCAATCAATCTTTCCAGAAACAATAAAAGTACACGTCTCCAATACTAGTACAGTCTCCTATAGTAGTACAAGTCAGACCACCTTTGAAACAAGTACAGTGCATTCATGGAATCCAATACACCACACCACCACATTGCGCTTTTATTGCAGAAAGTACGGTAGTTATTACTAACAGTCCACCAAGGTACAGTCAGATAGTGCGACGACAAGGCACAAAACTGAGACAGTGAGACATTGGACGACCTGACACCTGGTTCCAACACATCTATGAAGCGCAAACGAGCAACCTTCCAACTTGGAAGGCTCCCCCCATCCTTGTCAGTTTTGTGCCTTGTTGTCACACTATTTGACTATATTATCTCGTTACCTTGGTGGACTGTTACTAGTAACTTACAAGTCCTTTTCTCTTTACACATACAAATTGGGTTACAGTTCATACAAAATCAATTTTACCACAACCGATACTGAGCGGACAGAGCGTGAAACAGACCTTGACTCTAACGTCAAGAGCCAGCTAAGAGCTGGGAATGGCCAGGCAGGAAGAAGTTACTAAAACCCACCCATCATTGCAGAAATGTGGACACTCCTTGCATCTCCACCACTGTTTACGACTTTCAAACCGCAGCAGCTTCTTCACCGATCCGACTAAAAACAGCTTGCCTTTTCCTAACATAACACCCTTTTGCAAAGTAGACTGATGGGAGCATACACCAAATGTATTGTTTTGGTGTATTTGTCATAATCGAGGGATAGCAAATTAGCAATTAGGAGAAACAAGCATGGACTACGAGATACCTTCTAGCCAGCTGGAATAAGAGCACCCTATACGACACAAAACTTTGGCATTAAAAAAGCATACACCAAATGTATTGTTTTGGTGTATTTGTCATAATCGAGGGATAGCAAGTTAGCAATTAGGCAGGAAGAAGTTACTAAAACCCACCCATCATTGCAGAAATGTGGACACTCCTTGCATCTCCACCACTGTTTACGACTTTCAAACCGCAGCAGCTTCTTCACCGATCCGACTAAAAACAGCTTGCCTTTTCCTAACATAACACCCTTTTGCAAAGTAGACTGGTGGGAGCATACACCAAATGTATTGGTTTGGTGTATTTGTCATAATCGAGGGATAGCAAGTTAGCAATTAGGAGAAACAAGCATGGACTACGAGATACCTTCTAGCCAGCTGGAATAAGAGCACCCTATACGACACAAAACTTTGGCATTAAAAAAGCATACACCAAATGTATTGTTTTGGTGTATTTGTCATAATCGAGGGATAGCAAGTTAGCAATTAGGCAGGAAGAAGTTACTAAAACCCACCCATCATTGCAGAAATGTGGACACTCCTTGCATCTCCACCACTGTTTACGACTTTCAAACCGCAGCAGCTTCTTCACCGATCCGACTAAAAACAGCTTGCCTTTTCCTAACATAACACCCTTTTGCAAAGTAGACTGGTGGGAGCATACACCAAATGTATTGGTTTGGTGTATTTGTCATAATCGAGGGATAGCAAGTTAGCAATTAGGAGAAACAAGCATGGACTACGAGATACCTTCTAGCCAGCTGGAATAAGAGCACCCTATACGACACACAACTTTGGCATTAAAAAATCAGCACCCTTTGGAGAAACACATCGCATCGAAAGTTGGCTTGGTTCAATCGAGCCTGGCCTCAGAACATTGTTTGAATGTCAAAGTGGTTGGATTTTGAGCACCCGGATCTACCAGGTTAAACAGTCCTCCTTGGAAGCAGCAGCCATGCTGCGACCCAAAGTTGATTGGGAGCTCGTGACCACTTTGGTGGTGGGTCTGATATACCATAGCAGGGTTATAGCCAAAGGGGGTAGGGGGCGCAGCCCCCCCCCCCCCTTGTGAAAAAGTGCTGCCCCTTACTCATTTTTTCGATTTTTGTGTTTTTTCATGCCATTCAACGAAAATGCAGTCGATAGTCAATACTAGAGGGTTCATAAAGGCACATTGGCACAACCTCTGTAGGAGCTGCGTCTGCACCTTGATCCTTGAGGGTGGTGGCATTCCTAAAGGTGCGGAAAACTCGGCCTAACCGAGTCTCAAGCCAACTCTGAATTGTTGTTGACCTTTTACTGTGAACTTGCTTCTAAAAAAATTGGGAACAAAATTTCCTTAGCTACTATCACCTAAAAATCTAACGGAAGTTAATGCCAAGCCGAGTTTTAGCGATTTCAGTGTACATGGGGCTCAACAACACATCACAGACTTTCTATATTGTTAAAAGGGAGGTGACTACTCTAAACTTTGGAGCTGGTGCTTCCTGCCAACTGACGTGACATATGGCTGACTTTGGACTTTCCTGAGCTGACTGCGGTCGTGAGTCAAGTTTCAAGGCTTACAGGAGCACCATGTTCACATGTTACTGCCGAAGTCGCAACATTTTAAATGAGAGAGTTGTGCAACTTTGCTTTTTTGTGTTTCTGCCTGCCCTAAGTTATAGTTCTATTTGTGGCAAATCCTGCTTTGTGAAATATTAGCAAGAATGGGGCTCTTTTCTTCTGATTCATCCTTTGTGTTGTTGTAGACTACAATGAGTGCTTGTCTAATCCATGCTCCAACAATGCTACATGTGTGGATGGCATTCTCAGTTACAAGTGCATTTGCCCAGATGGCTACACTGGATCTGTATGCCAATCATGTAAGGAGTGGTTTTCCTATTCCAGAACAGCCTGCCTCTTCATGATTGCTCTGTGCAATAGTTGTTCCAATTCCAAGTCTAGGTCTAAGATGTATGAAAGGAAACAGGATTTAACCCTTTCACTTCTGGCCTAGTTATCCCAGCCGGCTAAGCTTTCAGCGCACCTACTTCAATTTCGAACAATGCATGCACGTCGCCGAGGAAAATCTTTCGTCATATTTGCATTCATTGATAGATTTCCACGATCTATAGCTTGCTGGAAGGGCCTGAGCCAAGCAAAGACTCCCTTGTACTTCTCAGATCCATAGGCATGCCAGGGTCACTTCTATGTGCTCTAGAAGATGCCCGTATACATGGAGACTGTCTCGATTTAGGCTAAGGCCTGTGGAGAATCCATTTACACAAATACAAATTTAATACAAAAAACTTGTCTCAGAATGGCAAAAACAACTTCGTAATATATTTTCGTTCGCCATCTCTCTTAAAAGTAAACCAAAGTTCACGATTCAAACTTCGCTGCAAAGCTGAGATCCGAGCGCTTTGTTTGATGCCCAACACGCATGCGCTGGAGCAAAGGGAAATCCCATAAAAAAGGCGAGTCGCGGGCAAAAAGTTTGAACTGATGGCCAGAAAGCTTATTTTTGCAATTCTATTCTTCATCCCTCGCTCAAATCTAGTCTCATCGCAAAGATGTTTCACTGGAACGCAGAGCTCAATGCCTTTCCAACGGTATTTTGTTTGTGACAATCGGCCACCGTTGACAAGAGTTACGACAGTTTGTACAGTGATAATTATATGCACTCCGTGCTATTGCGAGGGCAGTGGAGCGAGATACCTCGTCATCCGCCGTTCAGGTACACTTTACAGAGCGAGATATCTCGTCATTAGCACTGAAAGGGTTAATTTTCATAAAATGAAATCACGAACAAGTCTTGTAGACGATGGGCCTTGTACAGCTCTCCTCCCTTCTTCTTGAGCAAGTCGACATTGTTGTGTACTTCTTTCATGGAGAAGCGTTTCGCGAGGGCGACTGCTTCCATGCGATTATTCAGCAGGTGTGTAGCCTTTTGCTCCTTCGCATTTCTGGTCATCATTGATTTTATCAGTTGATTTCAGCAAGTTGCAATAAATTTCGATTGAGTATGTGCTCAGACTCGGGATTGAAAGTTCGGTTGGACAGGGTCGTCGGTCGAAAGAAAAACAGAAAAACCACAACCTTTGAATCTTAACCGAGAAAACGTACAGCCAGGGGTGTCGAGGCCGTGGGACAGTTTGCGGGCTCACGTTTTCAAGCCTCCCGCCAAACCATGTTTTCCATGGCGCCCTACTGAGAAAGCATGAAAATGTGACTTCTGGACCGTAGTGTGAATGGCCTATTAGTGGTTCTCTTGAGCAGCTAGTTTCTTCACCACCCCACTTGTTAGAAACCCTTCCTGATATTTCAATGAGGTCTCAAGTTTCTCATCGCAACTGGATAGATTCATCGAATCTTTAATTGCATACAAGTGTCAAGTTCTCTTCACTCTTCAAACTGAATAGTCCTGACCCATGCGCCATGCACACTCACACACATGCGCGCACACACATACAAGTGCACAGGCGCTTGAAGCGGGCACCTGAAAACAGGCATGAACAACAGCTGGCCATCATTATCAACTCTAGTCTGATGTCCCTGTTAATTAAAACTTGCAACAATGTCCACAGCTCCTTTCCCGAAGTAGTCCTGGATGTGTGTAGGTTTTTCACACTCAAGCACCAAGCCCGGGCCCATCAGCGCGCCATCTCTAACATGTATTTCAAGAGACAGTACAACACAGGTGCATATTTTTGTCCAATCATTCAACAATTCAACCTTCTTTGATGAGGTCTCAATAGCAGAAACAGCTGTCAGAAGGAATAATATTTCAATACAATGAAGGAACCTCTTGTTGCTGTTGTGGGAAGTGTACGTGGTCGGCCACAGAGCACAACGGTGGTGGTGGTGATGGTGACATTTTCGCAGATTTTTCAACGGCCGAATGCTTTTTTAGTTTTTACCTTGTAACAGCGTGTCTATCTTGCAAAAAAACAGACAGACAAAGCCTTTTCACAAACCGGCTTATGAGACACATACAGCCAGACAGCTAGACAGACAGACAGACAGACAGACAGACAGACAGACAGACAGACAGACAGACAGACAGACAGACAGACAGAGGAGAGGGAGAGGGAGAGATGGGGTGGGGTGGGGTGGGAAGGAGGGTGGATGAGTGTTAAGCAAGAACTCTTTCCTGTGTGCTTTCTTTTCCTGTTTCCATCTCTGTAGTGCTTCCATGTCCTGACATGCACACACGCGACAGGGGTGGAGTGTTCTGTAAGAAATGTTCTTGCAACACACTAGGAACACATAGCTGTGACCCAGAGAATGGCACTTGCTACTGCAACCAACATATCGGCGGTGAAACCTGTGACCAATGCCAGCTTGGCTTCTACCCTGAGACTGGAAAGATTGACTCATGCCAGAGCTGCCCGTGTGTGGCCAACACCACCCAAGCTGCCAACACCTGTAACACAACTAGTGGTATCTGCAATTGCTTAGACAACTACTCTGGCCACAGATGTCAGCTTTGTAGCACGGGCCACTACAAGGTCGGCGGCGAATGCACCTCGTGTCAATGTAGCGCAAAGGGCTCCTATGATCTCACCTGTGACATTGCTACTGGTGCATGCAGATGCCGTCCAGGTCACACTGGGAGCAACTGCTTTAAGTGTGAAGAAGGCTACTTCCAGCCAGCCACCAATGGTGCACACAGTCCGTGTGTTGCCTACGACTCAAGTATTGCCTGCCAAGGTATATCAATGATGAGTATACCAGCTTCACTTCGAGAACAATCTTTACACCTACAATTCATATCTTTTGGCAATAAACGCATAGCAAAACTCTAGAATTTGAGTAACTACGTCGATTGCGTAGCTCACATTTTTACTAGAAATCTGTGGCTCACAGTCATGACATTATACTGACATCCAGTTGAACTCTGGCAGCTCAACAAAAAATGTGCCAACACAGCAATGTAGACTCTTTGTATGAAGACCCAGGTCTTCAGCTCTACCCCCAATGGACTCAAATTGAGTGGAAAACAGGTGGATAACAATTTGTACACAAAGTGTATGTGGAAACAGTGAATGGCCAGAAGTTCCTAGATTCTAGCAATCAAGAGTGTAATTCTCCACGCCAACTTTCAGTTCCTAGATTCCTATGCAATTAGAGAAAGACCAGTTTGCCATTATAACATTTTTCTGATTTAGTGTCTTTTGTCGGTGTCTTTCCTTTGACAGTGTGCTATTGTTCTCCAATGGGGTCAAACGGCAGCAGCTGTAATAACGGAACAGGAAAGTGCCAATGTCTTCCAGGATATACAGGTGATAAGTGTGACTCTTGCATAAGTCCATCTCAGTTTCACACAGAATCCGGTGGTTGCCAGGGTAAGTGGCTTAGAACCTTACTTATGCATGTTGTGTCACTTTTGCCTTGGCTGTGTCCTCCAGATACGATACAGTCAAAACCTGTCAAGTCAACCACTCTGACAGGGTGACCATGCACCCCAGAAGACCACTTTAACTAAGACCAAGAGATCTTGGTTTACAGCCAATTGACCCAGGATAGTATTTAGTCAGACCCAGTCTTACACAAGCCATAATTATAGTTCATTGTTAAAGGGGAAGTTAAGGCAAAAATCAAAATTTCACCAGTTGTAGTCTTCGGGGTGCTCAGTCAAATGGTCTTGGTCCGAGGAAGCTGAGACGCTCCCTTCCTACTTGAATCCCAATCGAACTCGCGCACTTCCACCGAAACTGGGTGACTGCGCCCTACTAGATGGGAATTTGTATGCAAAATGTCACTAAAAGCGCCATTTCGTTCTTAAAAAAGCATGAATGACCGCGATTGGCCCATATGTTGTAGTCTTTTGGACGCTGAGTCGACTGGTTTTGGTCTGAAAAGGCTGCGATGCAGCGTTCCTCCTTTATTCCCAATCGAACCTGGTTGAACAAGCGGTCACGTGCTCCTGCGTACACCAGTCACCTGATCACCGTGCCTGCAGGGTACAACTTACTAGCGTGTTTGACCTTTTTTGGGTGCAGTCCTGTCACTCGAGTTGAACTCGAGTTGAACCTTGGTGTGAAAGTTGTCGCCTGCTGGCGTGGTGATTGGGATTCAAGTAGGAAGGGAGCGTCTCAGCTTTCTCGGACCAAGACCATTCGACTCAGCACCCCGAAGACTACAACTGGTGAAATTTTGATTTTTGCCTTAACTTCCCCTTTAATCATTGATCTCTAGAGAAATTTAAGCTGCCACCCCATCGATCTCGATTGGTCTTGGCAGCTGTCCTTATCTGCACTTAGCCACGGACGTGTTAGCACTTTGCAACTACAAATGAAAAAAAGAAAATAAACTAACATTTGGCGGGATACATTTGAAATGACAATATCTAGCACTGAGTTTAATAGACAGTTATGAAAGTTAAACAAAACATAATAATTATGTCAGGCACATGATCCCTAGGGCATTGACCCTGATGGTTTCACCTATTTGGGAGCATTTGCATCAAAGCAGTCTTAGTAAATACAAACGCATTTCTGTTTTAAAAACAAAGACATGCAGCAAGTGGTTGAACAACATTTTGTAAGCTTTCACAAGTATACTTTTTAAAGGCTTCTCGTCAAGTTCCATTGCCTTTGTTCCTTTGCTCTTGCCTGTATTAATCGAGTGCTTTTTTCTTCAAACGTGATAGCATGTTTCTTCTGCAAGGAAACTCTCCGAATTGGGCCATATATCCAGATAGTGCATTTGTGCTGCTCTGCTTCTGTCCAGATTTGGATCAGCAGCTCTTCAATGGCAGCACTTCATCCTTGGTCAACGGATCTAGTCTGAACTTGAACTATCCATTCGTGTTTGGTTCTAGGTTCACATCACATCGCGAAGTGTCGGTAAGGTTTTAGAAAACACATTTTCACAGGGATTCACATGTGTCATACCCGCTCGGCCAGGGTTTCCGACCCAATGCCGCGGTCGACATGAACCTATTTTTTGCTTTCTGGACTTACTGGACCATGCAATGGTAGCCACCTGTAGAGAATCCGCGGATAGAATTACCCTTACACATGCATGCACACTCACATACCTAGACATGCTCTCGCCCATGCATTCCGGCATACACACACATGCTCACACACACACACACACACACACACACACACACACACACACACACACACACACACACACACACACACATGCACACACACACACACACACACACACACACACACGCACGCACACGCACACACACACACACACACACACACACTCACATACTCACACACACACTCACACTCTCACACACACACACACACACAAACACACACACACACACACACACCATTGGACCATTGGACGCCCATCGCCGAAGGCGATGATAGAAAAGCTACAGCAGAAGCCATAGCAGCTTGTGCTGGGATTGCACCATTCAACAGCTTGCAAGGCTGAAGAATTGACCGCCACTATTCAGCCTGGTCTACACCACACAGCTATGAAGTGGCCTTTTCTGGCCAGTGCATCCCTACTTTTTTGGCATTTTTCACACACACACACACACACACGCACACATTAACTACAACAAAAAGCAGCTTGTTGTTAGGAGTGTGCTGGCCAGCGAAGTGAGAGGCTACAGAGAGAGCAGGATCTTGACGGAGCCAAGAGGATAGTCACGTCCGAGGGACGAAGACCGAGAGCCCTGAGTAGCCGGAAATGAGCATGGCCAACACCCCTTTATTTACTTTATCAAAGTAAATGAGAGATGAGAAATGGGAGGTGGGTGGATGAAACCCAATGATCTGACAAGAGTGATCCACACACAGAACGAATCCAAATATAAAACGAAAACACTACGAGCAAGCAAGAATGATCGTCGCACAGAATGGATCGAAAATATATAGCGGAGCAAACGCTAGCAAGACATGCAACGATGCATGCCACCCACGTTGAGCTACAAGCAAGCGTCATCATAACGCCGCCACACGCTTTCCACATCGGAGGCGAGCGACACGCATGAACGCCACACGCTTTCCACATCGGAGGCGAGCGACACGCATGAATGCCCAAACTTTAGCATGACACGTTGAGTGCCCACGACGCATGCCGCCCACGTTGAGTGTCGCGCATGAATGAATGTCGCGTTGAGTGTCACGTTGTATGACACATAGAATGCCACGGCGCATAGAGTACCATGTGAGCATGCACCAAGGCGTGTGACCGACATGGATACCGTGATGTACAGTGCACGTGACTGTAGCCAGCAGCAAAGCATGAGCATGCAGTAAAAGCGCCAGCAATCATAGCAGCATAGTTTGAGTAGTAGCACGAAGCAGCCGCGTGCACCCATTAATCTGCATTATTACTATAATGCTACATTAACTACAACACACAGCAGCTTGCGGTTAGGAGGGTGCTGGCCAGCGAAGTGAGAGGCTACAGAGAGAGAGCAGGATCTTGGCGGAGCCAAGAGGATAGTCACGTCCGAGGGACGAAGACCGAGAGCCCTGAGTAGCCGGAAATGAGCATGGCCCATTGTGGCCAGCAAGCCTCGTACCGAAGCAGCCGTGAGCGGGGTTAAAGTCATAAACACTGCCGGAGCAGGATCTTGGCGGAGCCAAGAGAGAGGTCAGAGAGATGTCACTGCCGGAGCAGGATCTTGGCAGAGCCAAGACAGGGGTCACTGCCAGAGCAGGATCTTGGCGGGGTTACCACCAGCCACGGTGGGCCACCGGGTAGTTGAGATGGTGGTGGAGCTGAACGTGTCCGAGAACGTCTTGGAATTGCCAGTGGCAATCGTGCACATTGCCCCGCTGTAGCCACTGTCACATTAGCAGCCTTGCTAGCGTTCGGCCTTCGACTGCTTGAGTGTGGCAATGATTCATGTCTCGTTGATATGGAGACGAGGCAAGGAAATAGAAAGGCAGATAGACACAGAAACAGACAGACAGACAGACAAACAGGCAGACAAACAGACACAAAACAGACAAACACACAAACAGACAGAGGATTCAGGGTCAGCCGGGTAGACACTGCCGAAGCAGAATGTTGGCGGAGCCAAGTACCTACAAGAGTCTGCGTCCGAGGGACGGCGACCGAGGGCCCTGAGTAAAGAGAGGGGTCACTGCCGGAGCAGGATCTTGGCAGGGCCAAGAGAGAAGTCAGACAAGAGTAATACGTAGACACTGCCGGAGCAGAATGTTGGCGGAGCCAAGTATCTACGAGAAAGGATTCAGGGTCGGCCGGGTAGACACTGCCGAAGCAGAATGTTGGCGGAACCAAGTATCAACAAGAGTCTGCGTCCGAGGGACGGCGACCGAGGACCCTGAGTAAAGAGAGGGGTCACTGCCGGAGCAGGATCTTGGCAGGGCCAAGAGAGAGGTCAGACAAGAGAAATACGTAGACACTGCCGGAGCAGAATGTTGGCGGAGCCAAGTATCAACGAGAGAGGATTCAGGGTCGGCCGGGTAGACACTGCCGAAGCAGAATGTTGGCGGAGCCAAGTATCTACAAGAGTCTGCGTCCGAGGGACGACGACCGAGGGCCCTGAGTAAAGAGAGGGGTCACTGCCAGAGCAGGATCTTGGCAGGGCCAAGAGAGAGGTCAGAGAAGGGTCACTGCCGGAACAGGATCTTGGCGAAGCCAAGAGAGGGGTCACTGTCGGAGCAGGATCTTGGCAGAGCCAAGAGAGAGGTCAGAGAGGGGTCACTGCCTGAGCAGGATCTTGGCGGAGCCAAGGGAGGAGTCAGAGAGGGGGCACTGCAGAGAGAGAGAGAGATCTTGGCGGAGCCAAGAGAGGGACGAGGACAAAAAGCCCACTGGGTAGCTAGGCATTAAATGTTTGTGCGTTGAGACAGCATGTGGTAAAGAGGATACTGACAAGAGTTTAAGCAACACGGATGAGAACCAGTAAGACAGTTACCTTGATGATCTCCTTGGCGGTGTCCCTCATTCCACACCGGATAAATGCTCGTGCAGCAAAGGGAGCTTGCCCAAATAGAAGGACAAACTTTGCTGCGGTGATTGGCTAGACCATGGTGTCAGGTCGCTCCCCAGCTGTGGGAGCAAAGGTTCTGGAGTCATCCAACTTGGACCGGGCAGAGCATCAATGGCATTGGAGGTGACTGGCAGGTGTGATGCTCGAAACAGTAAGTGGTATTTGAAGAAGAAAAATAGATTATCGCTGGCAAACAGTTTCCTTCTGGCAATGCTAGGGCCAGGGCATTGTAATCTCTCGGCCAGCACAGTGCCTAGCCCAGACGACTGCATGGGGCTAAACGGTTGTGTGTTAAATGGACCAGCTGTCATACCGTCCTCGCAGCAGCGTTGGAGACAGTCAGAAATATATCAGCTGCCACAGACTTGGCTCAATGATGTCCCACTTCAGTGATGGGTCAGCAGCAGCCTTGATGCGGAATTGATAGGACAGCAACTCCACTGTCCTGTGCGAAGCAATGTCGACCATGATCTGGACCAAGACGGTGAAGGCCTCAACCCACGCCGCAATATCAAGAACATGCCTACTCTTGCTGCGAGCAGCGCTGTCTTCCACCACCCGCAATTTTCCAACTGACATTTTCAAATCTAAGCACATTCTGTGTGCGAGCGGGCGGCACAGAGCAAGACACAGTGGGCAGGAGCTCACTCAACTCGACGGACTGACCCGTCACGATCCGCTCACGAACTTTAGTGCCAAGGTGTACAGCGAAAGACTTGCTGCTCCCTAAGCTGGCTGGGTGTGAAAGACTTGCTGCTCCCTAAGCTGGTAGGTTGTGAATCCACGGCCGCCAGACAGACTTGTAGGTCGGAGTTATAGCTGACGTTGGTGACGCAGACGTCGCCAATGACTCGCATTCTCTGCTGCCTGCTCCGATCGCCACGCTCGGGGTAGAATGGCAGGATTCAGCGTGGTGAAGTACACTGAAACAGGCGATCGGCGAGGGCAGCTTTCCTGAATTATTCAAACCCAAGAAACACAATGATCTGACAAGAGTGATCCACACACAGAACGGATCGAAATAAAAAATGTAAAACACTACGAGCAAGCAAGAATGATCGTCGCACAGAACAGATCGAAAATATATAGCAGAGCAAACTCTAGCAAGACATGCAACGATGCATGCCACCCACGTTGAGCTACAAGCAAGCGTCATCATAACGCCGCCACATGCTTTCCACATCGGAGGCGAGCGACACGCATGAACGCCACACGCCGCCACACGCTTTCCACATCGGAGGCGAGCGACATGCATGAACGCCCAAACTTTAGCATGACACGTTGAGTGCCCACGACGCATGCCGCCCACGTTGAGCGTCGCGCATGAATTAATGTCGCGTTGTCACGTTGTATGACACATAGAATGCCACGGCGCATAGAGTACCATGTGAGCATGCACCAAGGCGTGTGACCGACATGGATACTGTGATGTACAGCGCACGTGACTGTAGCCAGCAGCAAAGCATGGGCATGCAGTAAAAGCGCCAGCAATCATAGCAGCATAGTTTGAGTGGTAGCACGAAGCAGCCGCGTGCACCCATTAATCTGCATTATTACTATAATGCTACACACACACACACACACACACACACACACACACACATGCACACACACACTACTACTACTATTACTATTGACAGCTGCCAAGAAATGGCCACGACGCTCCCCGAAGGGAGGTACTGTCAGAGAGGTTAGGGGAGAGGTAGGCAGTGCTTCCAGGTCCTGTCGCCTCCGAAACTGGCGTTGATTGCAGACTCGGCAATGATGTTCAAAGTTCTGGCGATCAGTCCACACACACACTCACTCACTCACTCACTCACCTCAGACCTCAGACCTGCCCATCGCGGAAGCGATGATAGCGAACAGCTATGTTAGACATAGCAACTTGTGCTGGGATTACACCATTCAACAGCTTGCAAGGCTGATGAATTGACCGCCACTATTCACTCACTCACACACTCACACACTCACACACACACACACACACACACACACACACACACACACACACACACACACTCACTCACCCACTCACTCACACACACACACACTCACTCACACACACACTCACTCACACACTCACACACTCACACACACCCATGGTCATGGTCATGGTAAACACTGCCATTACGGTCACGTGTCCCCTTACAGGGCTGACAATATGGAACGACGAGCGACGGCAGTCCGCTGAGAGAGAGGTACTAGGTCAGGGATTCAGGGACCATGTTCGAGAGAGCCATCTCTGGCAGCTATGGATCTGGCTTATCATCGGAAGCGATTCCTCTCACGGCTGCCGCTTGAACTGGTCCATCACTCTCCACAACAGGGCGAACATTCCATGAGCCAATGGTCAGAGTCGTTCCAAGTCGTCGTCTTCGTGCGGTAGTTTGCTCCACTCGCGGGCTTGCAAAGCCTCGCAAAGGACTCCGAGGTGGGGGCGACGAGGAGAGCGTCGGCATCATAACTATCCGACCAAGTCTCCTTTCGTTGAAGACCCCACGTCAGGCACTGTTGTCCTGGACGGCTGGGGACACCCCAGGCCGTCCACAACGGCGAGAACAAGCACGGACGGAGGCCAGAAACAAGAGCCCAAAAACGTACAACCGTCCTCCACCAGAGCAGAGAACACACACATTTTCAAGATGTTGAACTATTTGAAAGAATTTCTTATCGTCGGAAACGATTCCTCTCACGGCTGCCGTTTGAACTGGTCCATGACTCTCCACAACAGAGCGGACATTCCATGAGCCAATGGTCAGAGTCGTTCCAAGTCGTCGTCTTCGTGCGGTAGTTTGCTCCACTCGCGGGTTTGCAAAGCCTCGCGAAGGACTCCGAGGTGGGGGCGACGAGGAGAGTGTCGGCATCGTAACTATCCGACCAAGTCACACCCCCCCCCCCACACACACACACACTCACACCAACTCGTGATCTCCCAAAAAGTAAACATCATCAACAAATTCTGCCATGGGCCAAACAAAGCAGTTCCACACTCATGTTTATGCACTCTGGGCAATACGTATGGCCCAGTTGACATTTGGCGGAACGAGATATAGCACCTGGTCAGTGCTAGGTTTGCTGTCTCGCATCACATGCCATGCACTCTTATGGTCTCCCTGCATCTTTATGGATACCTCAATATGTCTCAGAGGCATTTTGGACAGCCTGGTTGGTCCGGCAAGCTGATACGACCCAGCCTTTTCCAGCAGGTGGTGTGTACTCTCCATGGTGTATGCGGAATTTTGGCCTTACTTGGAATAAGTTGCCTGCATCTATACGATCACTGAAGAAACCAGGTCAATTCCGGACCGCTCTCTTACCCCACCTGAAAAATTTACTGACTTACGTTGCTCACTGATCAAATAATTATGCAATCTTTCCTCTGCTGTCTTAAATCCTACTCTATTTTTCTATTTTTCTTTTTTTCTTTTAATCTTTTCCTTACATTTGTGTGCCTGTAACTTTAGTCGATCTCATGTAATATGGCAACACTGCCTGTTTGTTATTCGACGTTAATTAAATAAACCAATCCAATCCAAATCCAAAACTTGTGCGTTTGGTGTGTCGAGTGAATGCAATGCTTGTGTGTATTGGGTTAAGTATTATTACCGCCCAATAGATCAGCTTTTTGATACAAATCAGTGCAGGATATGAAATCTAAGCTCATTTCCTGAAGTTGGATAGGGGAAATACTAGTAGAGATCAAGTTCTGTCTACACCATGTTCATGATTGCCATTTTCATGTTTGTATCTGTTTGCACTGCAGGTGTCCTTTGATGGATTTATGTCCCTCAATCGGTTTTCTGGTGGCTATAATGTCAACTCGCGAGTGACTGAACATCTTGCCATTATTGCACCGTATTGGACTACGCGTTTCGGAAATCAGTCTTGCTCAGCCGGAACCGTGGAAACGCACCATGTCAACAAGACTGTGGATCCAGTTACCTTTTCAGCCATACAAGAAATGATTGAAGTCCAGTACAAACCCGTTGAATCATTCAGGCCAGAAGAGGCAGTCATCACAACCTGGAGGGAGATCCGTGAAAACAACCAGCACAATGGGGTATGATGAGCTAGAACATTCCCGTTTAGAGTCTTATTCCATCAAATCATCTTGTTTGAAACTAGCTTAGCAGTGTACGAGAAAACCAATCTATATCAATAAAAGCTCAAATGGTGTGCCAAGCCTGGGGGGGGGGGGATACTAAAATTGAAAATATGTGCCCCAGTGTTTGCGTGTTTTCAATTTATATTACTAAATTTACGCAAGAGGTACACAAAAGGAAATCAAGTGGGGCTATTCTGTTGTTACTCAGAGTCTCATGGTAAAAACCAATCACCAGACCAAAAGAAAAAGGATCAAGGAACTACAAGTTACGCTATAATGTCCACTAACCCCACCAGTTACTAAACAATCAGCTCATGTGATAACATTGCACGACACTGAACGACAATACTGACACTCTACACCTAACTGGCTAACAGCTCTAGCACATCCTGGATGCGCACTCCAACAGCCTTCCAACTTGGAAGGTTCTAAGTTCAGTATCGCGCAATGACTGTTATCACATGAGCTGATTGCTTAGTATCTGGTGGTGTTAGTGGACATTTTATAGTGTAACTTGTAGTTCCTTGGTCCTTTTCTTTTCTATAAATTTATCCTTGGCTCTCCATCCGAGTCGGAAAACAATTGGTTTTTGCCATGAAACTCTGAGTAACAACAAAACAGCCCTACTGTATTTCCTTTTGTGTACCTCTTGCGTACTATGCTCTGTCCATTATGGGCATTTGAGCACTATTGCAGGTCGAGGTGCACTGCCTCTGTATTACTAAATTTATTTCATTCTGAATGATGAAGTATTCAGGTAGGATTTCAGCCAGGATGTCATGAAATACTTATAATGATACCTGTCCCATTGGATCAGTCACCAGCTAGTCATTCTGCGGTTCTGTGTGCTCAACTTTCTCCCATTTCGGTATGTCAGAACTGAAGGGTGAGCAAAATTCACAAAGATCCATAACACAGAACACTGTGCATTTTGACGCATCATATTGATGTATGCTGGACAGAGAACAATGGTGCAGTTTTCATGTACTCCACGAACCTGAGAAATGCAGACACACAAGGGACTGTCCTCATTTTAAAGCTGGCTTTGTTTTGTTGTTGTTGTTTGTATTCTTTATTTAGAGTGGGAAGTCCAAAACAGGCCCTAGCCTAATAACAATGGTCCCACTAGTGAGGGAATGCTGTATATCTGTGCATAAGGATCAGTGAGTGAAACAGCAACTAGTAGGGAAAGAAAAAGAGAGAAGAAAAACAACTCAAAACAGGAGTTGCGACTTGCATACGGAGAAAATAACGTAAAGAGCAGTGCATACAGCATTTGTAAAAAGGCTTATTTATCTGGTAAGCAAAAAGGCAAGAGCCATTGACTTAAAGCGATTGCGTTTTCTTTCTTGCCTGACCGCAGCGGGGAGCTGGTTCCATAAGATGGTCCCAGCATAGGTAACACGTTTGGCAAGATATGCAGTTGGGCTGGCTGGGACAATCAGTAAATTGCTTTGTTGAAGGTTCGAATATGCAAACTAGGCCTAGTTGAAAGAGGTTGCCGGATATGCAATGTTTGGTTGGGAGGCTTGAGTTTGGTTGTTTGTGTTTGTCTATTCTTGACCCTGTTACTGTTTTTGGCATTTGTGCTGCCTTTCTTTGTTTTAACTCGGGCGTTGAGCCAATGTAATCATGGGTAAAGTTTAACGGACCTCTTCGGACCATTCCCAACCTGAGCCTTCCAAGTTGAAAGGTTGTTGGTTTGCGCCTCGTAGGTGTGTTGGAGCTAGGTGTAAGGCTGTTGAATGTCTCAGTGCTCCCTGTCAGTTTTCTGCCGTGTTGTTGCACTTGCCGACTGTATTTTGATCTAGTTACTTTGATGGGCAGTTGGTCATAACTCGTAACATTTGGTCCTTCCCTTTTGTCCTTTGTTTGTTTTTGTTTGTGATAATTTTGTAGCGCAACACATTTCAAGCAGCGATCATTAGTGATGACTGCCAGTCATTTGCTGTATTTAACTATCCTGACCATGGCATTACCTGGAAAGGCTTTCCGTATGCAGTGATTGCACCTGGAACGATTTTGGCTACTTCTGGAACTGCCAATGTCTTGCCAACAAGTGGCATTTACAACCTAACTAATGGCTGCAGTGCAAAGCTACGTGCACAGAAAGAGTGCCAACAACGGGTTACAAACGCTTCCTTGATCCCCTATTCAACTATGGATATCGCTGAGTGTCCTGCACACATCGATATTATTGAAGCACGTGCCGCATTTTCAAAACAAGACTTCCCTCTGCATGAATGCTATATATCAGCTCCTATTACCAGAGGCTCGAATCAGCTATCCTCTGTAAGTCTGGAGTTACTGCACATCTGAATCTACACCATGTGTTGTAAATGTAACACCATGTTGTAAATGTAACATTACTTCTCCATCAGCTCAACCGCCACCACTGGACTGCCTTTTTACACTCTTTTTATTGTAACAAGCAGGACCACGGAAAACGACTACATCTTGACAAGACGACAAACCAAAGACCAGCTCACACAGTCTCGCACATGCGCACAACACCACCAACCAATGACACGTGTGCACAGCGACCAAGACGAAACAAACACGTGACACATAATCTACCACACATGTCTTCTCTGAAATAAATAAATATTTCCTTGTGTAAACGACCATTGCTCGGAGGAGTTCAACAGGATTTCAATTTTTAGTCCTTGTTCACACTGCTGCGAAGTGTAATTGTACAAATGAGTTAGGGTGCCAGTTAGTGCAAATGTATAACACATACGCAGAGGCACAGACAGAGACAGACAGGCACAGACAGGCAGAGAGACAGACATACAGACAGACATACAGACAGACAGACAGACAGACAGACAGGCAGACAGACATAGACCGTGGCAGACAGACAGACAGACAGACAGAGTAAGTTACATTAACACAAAGACAAGTAAGTCTACTGACAAAGAGAGGGAGAGAGACCAAGAGAGGTGGAGGTAGTGACAGGAAAAGAGAAAGAGAGGGTATCTGAATTTATAATGAAAAAATCATGGTTCATGTGAGACTGTGAGACCCGGCTAGAGGCCGGGTTTTTCCGCATCCAAAGGAACGCCACTTCCGTCAAGGACTAAGGTGCAGATGCAGCTCACGAACCTGTGTGAGGTGAATAGATCGTAACATTCTTTTCCTTTTTGTTGACTGTGTTGTTATTCTATTTTCGCTGTTGCTTTGTAATATTTGCATTCGTTTCTCTCGTTGGTTGGAGTTTTACTTGGATCCTTTGAAATTTGTACAATTACACGGCCTCATTGAGCCTACGCTAGGGATTGAGTTCATGTTTGCCTCCTGGGTGCAATGCTTGAGTTCTCTTGGTCAGGTTTCTTTTATTCTTCTTCTTTCAAATCCAGCATTATGTTTCCGGTGTTCTTTTCTTTCTTTGCATCATCATTTTATGTGGTCAATAAAAACACACTTCCAAGTAGTAGTAGTAGTAGTAGTAGTAGTAGTAGTAGTAGTAGTAGTAGTAGTAGTAGTAGTAGTAGTAGTAGTAGTAGTAGTAGTAGTAGTAGTAGTAGTAGTACTACTACTACTACTACTACTACTACTACTACTACTACTACTACTACTACTACTACTACTACTACTACTACTACTACTACTACTACTACTACTACTACTACTACTACTACTACTACTACTACTACTACTACTACTACTACTACTACTACTACTACTACTACTACTACTACTACTACTACTACTACTACTACTACTACTACTACTACTACTACTACTACTACTACTACTACTACTACTACTACTACTACTACTACTACTACTACTACTACTACTACTACTACTACTACTACTACTACTACTACTACTACTACTACTACTACTACTACTACTACTACTACTACTACTACTACTACTACTTGTCTGCGGGGGTCACGGCACTCGTACCGCCGAAGGCTCATGGGTGCTGGTCATGGCGGTTTTGTGGTGGAGTGTAGGGCCCGTGCCCACCTGGCTGTTTAGCATGCCTGACCTAACTGTTTCATGATATTGTCTGTATTTTTGTTGTAGCAATTTTGCTATTTATATGTTGGTCATGATTTGATGGTTGACTTGCCCGTTTTCTTTGTGTACCTTATCTGGTTTTCTCTTGTCTGGGTTGTTGGATGCGTTGGGTAAACGGTGCTGCTTTGATTGTGTTTGCGGATGCGGGTTTACTCTTTGTTTTGGTATTTGATAGTTGACTTGATTCTTTTATTTTATTTTCTTATTGGATTTTCCGATTTATTTGATTTGATTTTCCTATCTACGATACTTGATTGGATTTGTCACCATTGCCTTCTTTGCTTCCGTTTTTTGAATTCTTCATTCCGGCACCCAGTTTGTTATCAAATAAAGTCAACGTTCTCAGTAGTAGTAGTAGTAGTAGTAGTAGTAGTAGTAGTAGTAGTAGTAGTAGTAGTAGTAGTAGTAGTAGTAGTAGTCACATCCTTTATTGCTGAACCCACAAATAATTGTGATACAAATTGTAAACCATCCGAGGAAGAAGAGAAAGCCATTAAAAATAAAAAATAAAACAAAAAAGGTTATTGTACCATGCCAAACGGCTATTATTAAGTCATGTACCAATTGTAATACATGACGTAGTATAGTAGTCAAGCACCTACAAAATACTTTGCAGGATAATATTTAAATTGCCTAGCATGCCTACAAATCCGCAGAGCATGCCAATGTTAAATAGGCCAACATATGAATACCGAAGGCGGTTACATGGATAGAAGGCGACATTGGTCGTAGTAGTAGTAGTAGTAGTAGTAGTAGTAGTAGTAGTAGTAGTAGTAGTAGTAGTAGTAGTAGTAGTAGTAGTAGTAGTAGTAGTAGTAGTAGTAGTAGTAGTAGTAGTAGTAGTAGTAGTAGTAGTAGTAGTAGTAGTAGTAGTAGTAGTAGTAGTAGTAGTAGTAGTAGTAGTAGTAGTAGTAGTAGTAGTAGTAGTAGTAGTAGTAGTAGTAGTAGTAGTAGTAGTAGTAGTAGTAGTAGTAGTAGTAGTAGTAGTAGTAGTAGTAGTAGTAGTAGTAGTAGTAGTAGTAGTAGTAGTAGTAGTAGTAGTAGTAGTAGTAGTAGTAGTAGTAGTAGTAGTAGTAGTAGTAGTAGTAGTAGTAGTAGTAGTAGTAGTAGTAGTAGTAGTAGTAGTAGTAGTAGTAGTAGTAGTAGTAGTAGTAGTAGTAGTAGTAGTAGTAGTAGTAGTAGTAGTAGTAGTAGTAGTAGTAGTAGTAGTAGTAGTAGTAGTAGTAGTAGTAGTAGTAGTAGTAGTAGTAGTAGTAGTAGTAGTAGTAGTAGTAGTAGTAGTAGTAGTAGTAGTAGTAGTAGTAGTAGTAGTAGTAGTAGTAGTAGTAGTAGTAGTAGTAGTAGTAGTAGTAGTAGTAGTAGTAGTAGTAGTAGTAGTAGTAGTAGTAGTAGTAGTAGTAGTAGTAGTAGTAGTAGAAGTGTCGAGGCAGTTATCCCAACACGAGCGTCAGAAGAAACGTCAGTATTCCGATCGAATCAACCAGGTGGATCGAGGATCGTTCACTCCGCTTGTTTTCGCCACCAGTGGACAGTGTGCTCCCGAATGTGGCATCTTCCTCAAGACCCTCGCAACACAACTGCACCATAAGAACTCGGACATACCGTATCGTCTCATCATCAGCCACTTGCGCTCGAGAATCAGTCTATCTCTGATGCGGTGGCAGATTACTTGCTTCCGGGGGTCACGTGCATCATACCTACGCAGTGGATCCGGCATTGGCCGACATTGCTTTGTAACGGAGTGCCGTACATTGGCTCATATGCCGCGCTGACGGGCATCAATGGACTTGCCATAATATTGTCATTGGTTTCATTCTGTCTCAGAGTGTTCTGTTGTATTTGTTTTCGTTTTAAAAGCGTTTGAGCGGTTGGGTGAATGGAAACGTCACCGTACTGGTAGTAGCGATGCTTGGATGGTGTTTGCGGGTTTGCTTTTTGTTTTTGTATTCCCTAGTTGGCTTGATTCTTTTATTTTATTTTATTTTCTGATTGGATTTTCCTATTTATTTGATTTGATTTTTCTTGAATGGTTTTGTCACCATTGCTTTTCTTGCTTGCGCTTTTCAGTTTCTTCTTTCTGATACCCGGTTTGTTTTCAAATAAAGGCGAAGTTCAGTAGTAGTAGTAGTAGTAGTAGTAGTAGTAGTAGTAGTAGTAGTAGTAGTAGTAGTAGTAGTAGTAGTAGTAGTAGTAGTAGTAGTAGTAGTAGTAGTAGTAGTAGTAGTAGTAGTAGTAGTAGTAGTAGTAGTAGTAGTAGTAGTAGTAGTAGTAGTAGTAGTAGTAGTAGTAGTAGTAGTAGTAGTAGTAGTAGTAGTAGTAGTAGTAGTAGTAGTAGTAGTAGTAGTAGTAGTAGTAGTAGTAGTAGTAGTAGTAGTAGTAGTAGTAGTAGTAGTAGTAGTAGTAGTAGTAGTAGTAGTAGTAGTAGTAGTAGTAGTAGTAGTAGTAGTAGTAGTAGTAGTAGTAGTAGTAGTAGTAGTAGTAGTAGTAGTAGTAGTAGTAGTAGTAGTAGTAGTAGTAGTAGTAGTAGTAGTAGTAGTAGTAGTAGTAGTAGTAGTAGTAGTAGTAGTAGTAGTAGTAGTAGTAGTAGTAGTAGTAGTAGTAGTAGTAGTAGTAGTAGTAGTAGTAGTAGTAGTAGTAGTAGTAGTAGTAGTAGTAGTAGTAGTAGTAGTAGTAGTAGTAGTAGTAGTAGTAGTAGTAGTAGTAGTAGTAGTAGTAGTAGTAGTAGTAGTAGTAGTAGTAGTAGTAGTAGTAGTAGTAGTAGTAGTAGTAGTAGTAGTAGTAGTAGTAGTAGTAGTAGTAGTAGTAGTAGTAGTAGTAGTAGTAGTAGTAGTAGTAGTAGTAGTAGTAGTAGTAGTAGTAGTAGTAGTAGTAGTAGTAGTAGTAGTAGTAGTAGTAGTAGTAGTAGTAGTAGTAGTAGTAGTAGTAGTAGTAGTAGTAGTAGTAGTAGTAGTAGTAGTAGTAGTAGTAGTAGTAGTAGTAGTAGTGCGGCTCATAGAGTGCGGATGGAGATTTTGCTCCTCCGCAGTTTTTTAATTGTTTTATGCACTGCCCAGGTCAACCGGTTGTTTATCCTACGTCATTACTTTCGTCTAGGTTTCAGGAGTCGGCTCCAGTAGTTTTTACCGCTGTGGAGTTGCCCAGTCTGCTATTCGTACATCCAGCTGGTGTCGTATTGCCTGGCGAACCGGCCATTGTGCTGTAGTTTCGGTGCCTTCGCCTTTGGGCCGTGGGTGAGATGGCTTGCTGTGTTGTGCTTCGCG